CGATGGTGAATTCGACGTCCTCGTTCTCATCCAGGCTGCGGAAGCCCTCCGCCTTGATGCTCGTCTGGTGGACGAACAGATCCTCGCCGCCGTCGTTGGGGGTGATGAACCCGAAGCCCTTGGTGCTGTTGAACCACTTCACCTGCAGGTTCGGGAGAGGTAAGGGAGAGGTTCGGAAAATGGACAAATCAGGTCGACTCTAGGTTTGACTATCCTCGGGATTGGTTTCGATGGTGAATTCGACATCCTCGTTCTCGTCCAGGCTGCGAAAGCCCTCCGCCTTGATGCTCGTCTGGTGGACGAACAGATCCTCGCCGCCGTTGTTGGGGGTGATGAACCCGAAGCCCTTGGTGCTGTCGAACCACTTCACCTGCACGACCAGGTTCGGAAGAGGTTCAGGAGCGATTTGAATGAGGTTCGGAAAATGGTCGGATCAGGTCGGATCTAGCTTCGAGAACCCTCGAGATTGGTTCTCGGGTGGGGGTGAAGGAGATCCTCCTGCCTGACGTTGTAGAACGCGGTGAACCTCAACCCCCTGGTGCTGGTGAACCGTTTCTCGAAGGGAGAGTACATGAGATCGATTCACTAAGGATCTAGCGACTGAATCCCTCAGGTTTGATTCTCGTTACGAGCACATGAGATCCTTGCTGACATCGTAGAACGCAAGAAAACCCGAATTTCTTGGTACTGGTGAATCAACTCTGGAAGGACGAGAGAAGAAACGACGGTCAGGCTAGAAAAAGATTCGAATCTGACCCAGGAAGCACTTGATGAAGGTTAACATGCTAAGGACAATGTGAGACTGAGAACAGGCTGGCCTTGGAGGCCCTTAATGCTGTTAGAATGAAAAAGGTAAGAGGTCAATTAAAACCCGAATATACTTGTAGACCCCCCCACGCGCGCCAAATACTTTAATCAGCAGCGAATCCCATGCCTGTAAGTTAGAAAGAGTGTGAGATCTGATACGAATAATCACCCAGTCCATGTTGATGGTGTAGTACAGCTACCAGTACCTGACGATAAACCCTCGAGAAATACGGCTGTCGCTGAGGAGCAAGGATTCACGCGAGAGTTCACTAAAGCAGCAGGTGCAGCTGAGCGATCCCCCAGATCTAAACGAGTATTCCGATGTGCATCGGAAAAAGAAAAGGTGAAAAAATCAAAACGTCACATCGCGCCGTCATCTTACTTCCGGCGAACCACGGCAGCGGAACATCGCAACAGAAATCTCCCGTACTGATAATCTTCTTAAGGTTGAACATCAGGGAGTTCTTACCTTTCCGGTCTGAACGCCACCCGCTGCAGCTGGGGCTGCGGCTGCATCAACGTCATTGGCCGCCATGGCGAAAGGTTGTGCTTCGCGAGATTAACTTCACCCAAATAAAGCAGACAGCCTCTGCGTCTTAATCTGACACTGGTGCTACAACTTCCAACTCCACTCGTGGTTGTTACTCTTGATGCAACCACGTCTCCTCACTGCTATTAGGAGCAGTGAACTCCAAAACCCAACAGAAGCGAAATCCTGCTGGAGAAAAAGAACGGGGAAAGAGAATCCAGTGGTAGAACTAGGGAGGGCAAAAATCTCAATTGCTTCTCACACCAAGACACTCGGTTTGGTGTTTGCAGGTTTGGTCCAGGCACGGAGCAGTCAAGGTGATCCGGTATGGAGTGTTCGTGGATTACCTTTCCGGGCAGGTGGTCCACACAATGTTGGGTGTACAATTTTGGTTCATGGCAAAATGTAGCCTTTCCACAAGGTATTGGCGATTGATTGGGTACAAATTAGGGCGGGGTGCATCATGCTGTTTTGCAGGATCACGATCCCAAGCGATCCTTGATACAGTGTTTTGTCGTTTGTGTACAGTGATTACTGTAGTGATGCTGCACCACGACCCTTGGGGATCGCGACGCCAACCACCCAACTACCCTCGACCACGCGGGATCTGAGGGCCTGCGATCCCACGCGATCAAGGGTTGAAGGTGCACCACGTGCACACCGATCCTGTTTGCGAGAAATAGTTCGTCGTTTAACGACGAAACGAAACGTGAGCGAGGTACGGACGATAAAAGTTACGTAAACAACTTTGAAACTACACTGTACATGCGACGCCTTGACTGCGTCTGATTGGTGGCTGGGGATCGAGACTGCAAAATTGCGAACGGTGCATCATGGGGGGGTGCCGTCGGGTCGCATGGGACCCCGAGCACGCCCAACCCCACCGGATTCCTCAGGGTTGCGGTACTAGCATCGCGATCAGGGGACGATCATGCATTTTCAGCATGATGCACCCCGCCCTTAGAACTCTAGTTCTTTTGCCTCCCCAGATTAGCTGAGGCGGAGCGGTGTGGAGAAGCGTAGGGTTGCTGCTTTGCATGCTGGCATGGCAGACTAGTGCGATGCGATTGTACCGAGATATGCCTGACATCGAGCCAGTCGTAATGTTTGGGTTGGCCGATAAAAGTCATCCGTCACTGACCTGCCGTCGGATCTTCACAGGTCAGCAATTTGACGGCACATAATAGATGAAAGAATCTGGGGAAGCCACAGCGACAAAAAATATCTCCGCAGGTTGCCCTTTTCTGCGCACCCAACCGACATCACATGCAGAGGACTAGATGTCGAGGACGCAGGAAGAGTACCTCCGATCAGCACGAAACCCATTGTTCAGAAACCCCGGGGTTTTGCGGAGGGGTGCACCCACTTCCAACCACAGGAAAAGTGGCGGGAAGAGGTTCACAAGATTTCATCGAAGAGGAGATACCAGATCCATAGAATCGAACCGCTCATCTTGATAAGGCATCTAATCTCAGTTTATTTTGGAACTGTTTCCTCTTCGGTACCAGACGCGATTAACAGATCCCGACAGCGTTGAGATTGGCTTGGTTGGAAAGCCGTGGGATGGACTGTGATTCCTCTCTTCCGAGCCCTCCAAACCAAGTTCTCTCCAACCAACCCTGCTCCTTCTCGCCTCCCTTCTCTCGCACCCGCAGCACTTGAAAACCCCCACCTGCTCTCACTAACTTCATTTTCGTTCACAGGCTTTGATTTCTAGCCTTGTTTGTTCAGAGCCATCCCACCTTTCCCTCTTCACCTTACCCTTCACCTTTTCGACAATGGCTGCTCCCGATGTCGCTGCCACCCCCGGCGTTCAGACAGGCAAGGTGAAGTGGTTCAACAGCACCAAGGGCTTCGGGTTCATCACTCCCGATGATGGCGGAGAGGAGCTTTTCGTCCACCAGACGAGCATCAAGGCGGAGGGCTTCCGCAGCCTCGACGAGAACGAGGTCGTTGAGTTCACCATCGAGACCAGCGAGGACGGCCGCACCAAGGCCGTTAACGTTACCGGCCCGGCTGGCTCCTACGTGAAGGGCGCTCCCAGGCGCGACGGCTACGGCGGCGGTGGCGGCCGCTTCGGCGGCGGCGGCTTCGGCGGCCGTGGCGGTGGACGCTTCGGCGGCGGCCGCGGCGGCGGACGGTTCGGCGGCGGACCCGGTGTGTGCTACAACTGCAACATGCCCGGGCACCTTGCCCGCGACTGCCCCACGCCCGGCATGGGCGGCGGCGCCGGTGGCGGTGCTCCCCGTACTTGCTACACGTGCAACCAGCCCGGCCACATCGCCCGTGACTGCCCTCAGGGGGCGCAGTGAGGAAGCTTTGTCTTCCTAGCTACGCTTCATCGCTTCAACGCTTCACTTCTGCCGCATCTTCATGTCTTCAATCCGCGTCTACCTTTCTCTTCCATCAGCTGCCTATTTTCGATTTTTACTGCTGAGTAGACTTGGGGTTTTACGGAGTTCTGCGTATGTTTTTCGTTTGTTTGTTGGGGGAAGAGGATTGGTGGCGGATCGCGTGAGATGTGCCAGTTTTCCAGCTCTACGGATTCGTTAGTTGAAGACTTCGTCGTGCCGACGGTCTTCGGCGACTCGAGGCGTCACAGTGGCCGATGTCGAAGAAGAGGGCTCGTCAAGTGTTCCGATCTTTCGGCATCTCGTCATGAGGACTGTCACTCTTGAAAGTCCTGGCCTGGATGTGAGCTGGCGTCATAGCAGGCTTTCAGCTGCTGCTGCGAGCTTTCAGGAGGGTTTTTGGCGGTTTTGCGTATTTCGGTTTCTCCGGGTTTCAGGGTTCCTAGTGTTACAGTTCTCGGTGCAGGAAACCCCGTCTGCAGTGGAAGGTGGTTATGACTGGTCTCACGAGGACTTCAATTCTCATGAGCTGGACTTGTTGGCTCGTTATGGAGGTTCTGCCCATTTGTTGTGATTAATGGAAAATTTCCTGCCCTGCATTTGCGCATCCGAGGATTCAATAGCACTGGGAAATGGAAATTTCACTCTTCCGACACAATTTTTTGTGCTTTGTCACGGGACTCCAATCCAGCCATAATCAAAAGATTAAGCACTAATCTATCTGTGCATTGGTCAAGCTTGTGGTTATACCAGTATAGCGTGCGGATAAAGTGTTACGTTGATCATCCCTCGTGCATTGTGCTGTTCCATTAGAAAACATGAGCTAGTTGTTTTCATATCCAGTAAGCATCTGCAAGAAGCATTACTTCTATTCGTACTGGTATTTGAGAGGTGAGAGAGACCAAGGGAAGCAAAACAAAAACTTATTTCACTTTCTGTTTCCGGGACTTGAACTCGAGTCTTTCGGGTGAGAGCCGAATATCCTAACCGACTAGACTACAACGGATGGTATTGGATTCGACACGTATATTACAAATTATTTTCAACGCGAATTAAGAATTCAAGAACAGCTGAGCTTACACATGGCATTAGACAGCTAATAGCTGAAGATAGCAGAAGCCACGGCGTTTAACCACACTCGGATGGCGGAATTTCAATCGGTCCGTTTAGAATACGAGATAGGCAGTAGTATCGAAGCCGTTTAGGTAGCCAGTGGGCTTGACTGCCCGTTTAGCTAGTTGGTTAGCTTGTTGTTAGGCCGGTTATCTGACCAGTGAGCTACCATGACTGTCAACCTGGTAACGGCGGGCGGAATGGAGGAACGTATCTCTGTCCTTACGGTACCACCCGCGGGGAAGGGGAGCGCCCGTCCGGTACCACCCGGCGGGAAGGGGAGCGCCCTTCTGGTACCACCCGGGGGGAAGGGGAGCGCCCGTGCGGTGCCACCCGCGGGGAAGGGGAGCGCCCTTCCGGTGCCACCCGCGGGGAAGGGGAGCGCACTTCTGGCACCACCCGCGGGGAAGGGGAGCGCCCCTCCTGTGCTACCCGGGGGGAAGAAGAACGACTCAACACCTTTGTCGTGCTCTTCCCGCGAGGGCTCGTTTGGGAGGGCTCCACGTGGTTTGAGTCGACTCAGAAGGCACCGGCAAGCCCGCCGTCAGGGAGAACGTGGGCTCCCGCTCTCCGTCCCGCTCATCTTTCTCGTCGCGTCAGGCCTTCTTCCACGTGGGCCCTCCCCTGCTGCTGCTGCTGCTGCTGCTGCTGCTGCTGCTGCTGCTCAGCCGATTTCTGCTTCCCAAGGTACCGTTTCCCAAGGCACTGTTTCCCAAGGTACCGTTTCCCAAGGTCCCGTTTCCCAAGGTCCCGTTTCCCAAGGTACCGTTTCCCAAGGTACCGTTTTCCAAGGTACTTTCAAGGTACTTTCAAGGTACTTTCAAGGTACTTTCAAGGTACTGGTTCCGAAGAGATGGAGCCCTCTGGCAGTCCTCTCTCTCACATTCTTCTTTCCCGTGGCGTCAGTCCTGCCTCCACGTGGTTTGAGTCGACTCAGAAGGCACTGGCATGTCCGCCGTTCGGTAGACGACTTTTGAGGCGCCTCAAAAGGCACTGGCATGTCCGCCGTTCGGTAGAACGAGGACTGTCGCTCTCCCTCGCGCTCATCTTTCTCGTTGCGTCAGGCCTGCTTCCACGTGACCCCTCCCTCCTTGCTACATCTCAGCTGATTTCCGCTTCCCAAGGTACGCTTCCCCAAGGTTCTTCAAAGTAATCCCAAGGTACGCTTCTTCAAGGTAATCCCAAGGGACGCTTTTCCAAGGTAATCCCAAGGTACGCTTCCGCAAGGCACGCCCTCTGCATCGCACCACACCCAGCACCAGCCGGAGCGTTGGAGACCTGCCAGCAGGCCTGGGGGCGGACCTTCCATGCGTTGACTGGATTCTCTAGACTTCTCTCTCAAACTTGTTGCATTTCCAAGACACTGCACGCATCACCCTACCTTGCCTTCCCCACCCGCACGCACACACACTGCATCGCACCACACCCATCACCAGCCGGAGCGTTGGAGACCTGCCTGCAGGCCTGGGGGCGGACCTTCCATTCCCTTTTGAGTCGACTCAAGAGGCCTCAAAAGGCCTGGGGGCGTACCTTCCATTCTCTAGACTTGTCTCAAAGGTGTTGTGTTTCCCAGAGCGTTGATGCTCCCTGCTTTGCCTCCCCTACCCGAACACACACTGCGTCGCACCATACCCATCACCAGCCGGAGTGCTGGACTGGGGACCTGCCAGCAGCCCTGGCCTGGGGGCGGGCCTTTCGAGCTTCGTCTGCTATTTCAGCTCCCTGTCTTGCCTACCCTACCTGCACACGTCCTCATTTCACACCCATCATCAGCCTGGGTTCTCGAGAGCTGCCTGTCAGCAGGCCTGGCCTGGGGGCGGGGACCTTTTTTTGAGACGTCTCAAAACCAGCAGGCCTGGCCTGGGGGGAGGGGACCTCTTTATGCGTTGCCTGCAGTTGCTGCTCCCTGCCTTGCCTTCTTGTACATACCTGAACACACCCTGCATCGCATCGCATCGCATCACACCCATCACCAGCTGGAGTTCTCGAGAGTTGCCAGCAGGCCTGGGGGCGGACCTTTCCAGGCTGGGCGGCAGGGAGTGACTGTATTGAAGCTCAGGGGCTCGTGTGTGACGCTAACGGGGGGGTTGTGTCCATGTGAGTGTGCTGGGATGGGATGGACTGGGATGGGATGGACTGGGATGGGATGAGGTGGGGTGGTGTGGGTTGAGGTGGGAAGGGGTGGGGTGGAATGGGATGGGGTGGAATGGGATGGGGTGGAGTGGGATGGGGTGGGATGCGTGGAGTGGGATGAAGTGGATGCGTGTGGGATGGGGTGCAGGCCTATGGCTGTATACATGTCTTGTTGCTTGCTCATTCCTTGTTGCTTGCTCATTCCTTGTTGCTTGCTCATTCCTTGTTGCTTGCTCATTCCTTGTTGCTTGCTCATTCCTTGTTGCTTGCTCATTCCTTGTTGCTTGCTCATTCCTTGTTGCTTGCTCATTCCTTGTTGCTTGCTCATTCCTTGTTGCTTGCTCATTCCTTGTTGCTTGCTCATTCCTTGTTGCTTGCTCATTCCTTGTTGCTTGCTCATTCCTTGTTGCTTGCTCATTCCTTGTTGCTTGCTCATTCCTTGTTGCTTGCTCATTCCTTGTTGCTTGCTCTGCATGGTTGGTCCAACATCGTGAGTTTTCACAGGGAGTCTGGGATTTGCATTGCCTCATGCTGTTTTAGAGTCGACTAAAAAAACGACTCATCACTGGAGAAGTTTTCACAGGGAGTCTGGGATCGCATCATCCTGCCTTCCTCACTCCCACCCCTCATTCCCACTCCCTTCCTTTCCTCCCTCACTCCCTCCTTCCTCCCGTCCCCCCTCACTCTCTCCTTATTCCCTTTCCTCCCTCACTCCCTTACTCCCTTACTCCCTTTTCCCCCTTTTCCTCCTTCCTCCCTCCCTGATATCCCGTCCACAGCACGTTGAACAGCTCTGGGCTTGCGGGCTCCATTCCATTCCAAACGCCATCTTCACTCTCATCACCCTCAAGTCCTTGCCTCCCTCACCCCCTCACTCCCTCCTCGCTCCCTTCCTCCCTCCCCTCCCTGCCATCCTGCCCATAGCACTTTGAACAGCTCCGGGCTGGGCTCCATTCCAAACGCCATCTTCACTCTCACCAACCCCAAGTCCCTGCCTTCCTCCCTCCCTTCCGTCCCTCCCTTCTTCCCTCCCTCCCTCACTCCCTCCTCCCTCCTCCCTTCTTCCCTCACTCCCTCACTCCCTCCTCCCTCCTCCCTCCCTGCCGTCCCTCTCACTGCACCTTGAACAGCTCCATTGAGGGCGTGAGGTGAGGTGAGGGCCCCATTTCGAAGCCATCTTTACTCTCACCAACCCCTGTTCTCTGTTTCCCTCCCTCCCTCACTCCCTCCCGCCTCCCTCTCTTCCTCCCTCCCTGCTGTCCCTCCCACAGCACCTTGAACAGCTCTGGGCTTTCGGGTTCCATCCCAAAGGACATCTTCACTCTCAGCAGCCTCGAGTCCCTGTAGGGATCTCCTTTATAAGCAGCCTCGAGTCCCTGTAGGGATCTCCTTTATTAGAAGCCTCGAGTCCTTGTAGGGTTCATTTCGAGTCGACTACTAAACCCCCCCGAAGCACCTTGATTTGAACAGCTCTGGGCTTGCGTGTTCCATCCCAAAGGCCGTCTTCACCCTCACCAGACTCAAGTCCCTGTAGGGGTCTCTGTTATAAGCAGCCTCGACTTCCTATAGGCATCTGTGTTGATCCATGCTTGTCTGTTTATACATTTCACGCTGCACCCTCTTCTGACTCACCCATTCGCATGCACATGTACCCCACCCACCCCACCCATTCGCATGCACTCTTATCCCACCCCACCCAATCCCATGTTTCTGTGCACTAGGACCAAAGTCACAACACTTGAGGAGTTTTAAGGCGCCTTAAAAAACAGCAAGTTTTCTCCTGGTTCTGATACCATGTTTGTGTGTGCAGGGACCTAAGTCACAACTACCTGAATGGCTCCGTTCCTCAATCCGTGGGTTCGGCTATTCAAGTCACGAGCTTGTAAGTCTGTGAAAAGCGTACAGGTGAGTTGCGGAGGTCTTATTTCCGTGAACTCGTGCTGTTCTAGGACAACGAGACAAACCCCATGGGATGTTGTTACGGCTCCTTGTCAGTATCCTGCAACACCTCCCTCTCATCTCATGCTTTTTGAATGAAGTGAGGATTTACCTTCCAGTCTCATGCACCGCAATCTCTCGTTTCTCCTTCTCGCGCCTCACCCTCTCAAGGGCCTTCACAAGACTTTCTCACAACCTTACCTCTTGTCTCCATACTTCTCGTTCCCTCTAAACACTCACATACCGTGCTCTCCAATGCTCTCCAATGCTCTCCAATGCTCTCCAATGCTCTCCAATGCTCTCCAATGCTCTCCAATTATCTCCAATGCTCTCCAATGCTCTCCAATGCTCTCCAATTATCTCCAATGCTCTCCAATGCTCTCCAATGCTCTCCAGTTATCTCCAATGCTCTCCAGTGCTCTCCAATGCTCTCCAATTATCTCCAATGCTCTCTAATGCTCTCCAATGCTCTCCAATGCTCTCCAATGCTCTCCAATGCTCTCCAATGCTCTCCCATGCTCTCCCATGCTCTCCCATGCTCTCCAATGCTCTCCCATGCTCTCCAATGCTCTCCAATGCTCTCCCATGCTCTCCCATGCTCTCCCATGCCCTCCAATGCTCTCCCATGCTCTCCAATGCTCTCCAATGCTCTCCCATGCTCTCCCATGCTCTCCCATGCCCTCCCATGCTCTCTCATGCATTCGCTTTTCATCCACGCATGCACCTTCTACCCATGCATGCGTCCTCTATCCCACTCCTTTCTCTGAGCGCCTGCCAGAGATCTGAGTGGCAACAACTTAGAAGGCTCCATTCCTCCCACGCTCGGCCTCCTCACCAACCTTGCCTCACTGTAATGCCAAACTACGAAACAATCCCTCTCATGTTTCGCCACGCTGGTGTTCCTTTTGAGAATTCTGAAAAGCAATTCTCACACTCGACCTCCTCACCAACCTCGTTTTGAGGCGCCTCAAAACTAGCCTCCACACCAACCTCGCGTCACTGTAACTCTAATTCCTAAGCAGCCTCCTCCCATGTTTGGCCTTCTCCTCTCAGAGACCAACCTTTGCCTCACTGTAAGCCTATTGGATCCTTGGTTTGCCTTGCAATGTTTTTGGCTCGCCTCAGCATTGCTTGCTAGGATGAAGTGCCTTGCTGTGGGTTAGATCTTGTGGCCGCCTGGCGCACGTTACAGTTCAGATTTTCTGTGAGTTTGTTTGTTTGTTTGTTGGTTTTTTTCATACCGTTTCATTGTCCCTCCAATGTCAATTAGATGTCTTCTCAATCTCAACCCAATTCAACGTCATTGCAATGTCTGTGCATTGTCTTTGCAATGTCTGTGCATTGTCTTTGCAATGTCTGTGCATTGTCTTTGCAATGTCTTTGCATTGTCCGTGCAATGTCTTTGCATTGTCTTTTCAGTCATCTTGGGAACAACGCCTTGGACGGGACATTGCCAATGGAGCTTACCTTCCTGTCTGCCATTTCGTACCTGTAAGACCAATTCATTCTTCTATACAATATGTTTATAACAATCATTCCATTCTCAAGATGCAACGCTCTGGATGGGACATTGCCAATGGAGCTGACATTCCTTTCTGCCATTTCATACTTGTAATACTAATCCATCGATATGTATATAGATTCATTTATCCTGAAGAATCAAGACGACCCTATACTATTCCATCTTTCACTTTAAAGTCTCAGATAGATAGATATGATGTGTTTATTTTTTTATGTTTCTTGTTACGTGATTCTTGTGCTGTAAGCATAGATGTTTCTTATTCGGGTGCTTCTTCTTACACACCTATTCCTGCAATGCTGTAATTGTGATGGCAGGAACATGACTGGAAATAGACTAAGAGGCCGAATTCCAGGAGGCATATCCCGACTCAGTGAGCTTGCATTCTTGTAGGTTGGCAGTGCAACAGGTTTGAGATGGGTAGGCAGAAGTAGCTTCATACTGAAGCCTCAGTGGACTCGCATTCTTGTAGGTTGGCAACGCAACAGGTTTGAAACGGGTGGGTGGACTGGTAGCTTCAGCATGAAGCCTTCAGGCTGGGAAAGCATATCCCGGCTCCGTGAACTCCCATTCTTGTGAGTCGGCAACAGGTGTGAAACGGGTAGGTAGGCTGGTGGCTTCTAGCTGCCTGCTGCTGTGACAATCATGGTGTTGGCAGGAACATGACTGGAAATAGACTAAGAGACCGAATCCCAGGAGACATATCCCGGCTCAGTGAGCTTGCATTCTTAGGTTGGGTGGGCGCAGTGCAACAGGTGTGAGACGGGTACCTTGACTGCTAACCCCTAGCTTTTTGAGACGTCTCAAAAATCTTCTTTCTACTCGTGGTGTGAGATGGGTACCTTGACTGCTAACCCCTAGCTGCCTGCTGTTCTGACTCGTTCGAAGTTCTTGAGTGTGAGGGAGCTCAAAATCAAAGAACATCATAAAAAACGAGTTTCTTCTTCTTCTTCTTCATCTACTGCCTACCTTGTTCCTACGGTTTATGTATCTTGCGCATCGTTTGTGTGTCGAGCTTTCACCTTGGCATCTGCGTTCTGTTCTCGTGCTCTTGTTCGTCGTCTGCTTGGTTTCCAAATTCGTTTCGTGGTGGCTGGCTGGCTGGCTGGCTGGCTAGCTCGCTGGGACCTCTCAGCCAATCAGCTTGATGGGTCCATTTTCTAGGTGCCTCATGAGTGTTTGTCTTCTGCCTGGCTTTCCGAATGCGTGCTGGCAGGGACCTCTCAGCCAATCAGCTTGATGGGTTGATTCCACTATCCATTGGCAACCTTTCCAGCCTTGTTGAATTGTAATGGTTGTAATGTAACTAGCCAAGGTGAATGTTTTGTTTAGGTGTAGCTAGCTGCGCTGCTGTACCTATTTTTGCTCAATTCAACAACTCTTACTAACCTGCTAAAGTTGTTGTATCAAAACGGGATTTGACTGGACCTTCATGAAGTGTCGTGGTCGGTGCGTTGTGTTTTGAGTCGACTCAAAATATAACTTGTATCGAAACAGGATTTGAGTGGACCTTTATGAAGTGTTTCGTTGGACCTTTGAGTGGTCGGTGCGTTGGCTGCAACAACTCTCACTAACCTGCTCTTTCCCGCTGTTCGATTATTTAGTCGAATCAAAGATGCTTTCCCCACATGGTAGGTGTTTTTCACACGTTTCTGTGTGTTCTCCACACGTGCCCATGTGTTCTTCTTCCCCTTCGCTTCACACACACTCTAGGAACCTCACCAGAAACACATGCCATTGTGTTCTTCACCTTCACACTCCGCACACACCAGGAACCTCAGCAGCAACACTTTGGCAGGCAGCATTCCCAACCGCCTCTACGGCCTCTCTTCTCTGCGATCCCTGTGAGCCGCTAGTATATGAACAAGTGTTTTGAGACGCTTCAAAACACTTCTTCATACACGTGACTATTCCCAACCACCTCTACGGCCTCTCTGCTCTACGATCCCTGTGAGCTGTTAATGAAAATTTGTTCGGGCAGTCTCAATCCCAAATAAACGCGATTCGTTAGGCGCCCCGGAAGTTTGTTTTTTTTGCTTGTTTTCGTACTCGTTTTCATTTCAGAGCTAATTGTGACACTTTTGATATATATATATATATATATATATATATGTATATAACCTCCACCTCCTACTTAGGCAGCCTCAAGTTGACCTGTGCGGTCGGGTCTTCTTCGTTGGGATGTCTTGCAAGTCACTATCTTTTGAGTCGACTCAAAAGTCAACTCCACCTCCAACTTTGGCAGCCTAAAGTTGACGCGTGTAGAGAGGGTGTTTTTGACACGTCTCAAAAAGCAAGTCACTTTCTTTTGAGTCGACTTAAAAGTCAACTCCACCTCCAACTTTGGTAGCCTAAAGTTGACACGTGTAGAGAGGGTGTTTTTGAGACGTCTCAAAAAGCAAGTCACTTTCTTTTGAGTCGACTCAAAAGTCAACTCCACCTCCAACTTTGGCAGCCTCAAGTTGACACGTGCGGTCGGTGATTTTTTGTTGGGATATCTTGCAGGTCACTTTCTGGGAACCTTCTGTCTGGATCTTTGTCTTCAAGTGTGGCGTCCTTGGCTGCCATGCAGGCTCTGTACGTTGCTGTTACCTCATCTCATCTCACCTCATCTCATCTCATACCTCTCCTTCCTCTGTACGTTCTTATCTCATCACATCATATCTCTCTTTCCTCTGTCTGTATGTCTTAAAACCCCTAAGCCTCTGAATGTTGTTACCTTAAATCTTTCCGTGTTTGGTAATATCGTGTTTTGCATTGCACACATGCTATGTGGCACATGCATGGCATGGCACATGCTATACACACACACATGCATGTGTGCATGGCTCACAAACTCGCATGGTGCATGGCTCACGCACATGCATGGCGCATGGCTCACGCACATGCATGGCGCATGGCTCACGCACATGCATGGTGCATGGCTCACACACATGCATGGCGCATGGCTCACACACATGCATGGTGCGTGCATGCCACAAGCACAGGTATCTGGGTCAAAACAACTTCACAGGATCCATCCCACCCGTTCTTGGACGACTGACGAATCTAACTCTCCTGTAAGAAAGGTTTTGTGCAAGCATGCACACACGCATGGGAAGCAAGCATGTACGCAAATGTTAAGGCGCATAGTGCCCCTGCCGTTCATTTTTCAGGCGCTTAATCAATACGAAGACGGTAGAGCCCTGCAGCCAATGCACCGGTTTATTCTGCAAGTCTGATATTCATCAGGCATTTGGGCAGCTTCAGGATAAGCAGTTAAATTTGTCAAAGTATGCTCCCTCTTTTTCCCTGATTACCTTCTGTTCTGATTGTTCTTTCATTTTTTTTCTTTTTTTGTTCTCTCCCCAAGCAGAAGCTTCAACCAATCAGGTTTATCGTGCCCGACAGCTGGCACCGAATGTGCGGTGAAGCAAAATGCAAGCTCCGGATTCTGCCAAGCCTGTGCTGACTTCTGCTCCCCATGCATCCATAACTCAGGCTCAGGCTCACGCTCACTTCCCAACCCTCCATCTGCCAACCCCCCACCACCCACTTCCCTGCCCCCTCCCTCCACAGAAGCCTCGACCAATCAGGGCTGTCATGCCCGACAGCTGACGCCGCATGTTTGTTGAATCAAGCTGCAAGCTCCGGGGTCTGCCAGGCCTGTGTTGACTTTTGCTCCCTATGCATCGATAACTCAGGCTCAGGCTCACGCTCACTTCCCAACCCTCCATCTGCCAAACCCCCACTTCCCTGCCCCCTCCCTCCACAGAAGCTTCGACCAATCAGGTTTATCGTGCCCGACAGCTGGCACCGCCGATTGTGCGGTGAATCATACTGCAAGCACCGGGTTCTGCCAGGCCTGTGCTGACTTCTGCTCCCCATGCATCGATATCTCAGGCTCAAGCTCACGCTCAGGCTCAGCTGCCAACCCTCCATCCACCAACCCCCCACCTGAGCCACCGCTGGCACCTGAATCAAACCCCCCATCGCCCCCCTCCTCCGCCTCCTCTTCTCTTTCCACGGGAGCCATTGCTGGCATTGCTGTTGCTGTTGTGCTGCTGCTTGTGGTGGTGGTGCTGCTGGTGATGCATGCGCGGGGCGCTCTGCCATGCTTGCAGCACGGAGATGGGACCAGGAGTGGGGGCGGATTCTTCAAAGGCGGTGAGTTGACTGGCATTGCTGTGGTGCTAGTGCTGCTAGTGCTGCTGCTGCTGCTACTGCTGGTGGTGGTGCTGCTGGTGATGCGTGCGCGGGGTGCTCTGCTATGCCCATGCTTGCAGCACAGCGGTGAGTTGGGCTGATTTGACTGTTGCATTTCACCCAAACGCCGCATGCACACAGCAATGCATGCGCTGCTGGTGATTCGTCTGCGGGGTGCTCTGCTATGCTAGCAGCAGCATGGCAAGAATAGCCCCAAAATGGTCTTTGAGGCGCCTCAAAAAGCAGCATGGCAAGAAAAGCCCCAAAATGGTCCTTCATTGTGATATCATGCAATACAACGAATTACCCCCCCTTGTCCTCGCACAGGAAATCACGCCCGTAGAGTTTCTGTTTTTATTTTAATATCAAAAATCACGTCGGGGAGATATACCCCCTCCCTCCTCTTCCCCCCCCTTTCCCGCCCCCGTTGGCCTCCCACAGGATATCGCCGCCGCAGCCGCAGCCGCAGCAGCCACATCAGCGCCGAGTCAGCAGCAGCGGACACGTCACCGCAAGTGTGTCAGCGCTACTCGCTTGCTGACATGGCGCGCGCCACTGCCAACTGGTCGGATCGCAATCTCATTGGCAGCGGTGGCTTTGGTGACGTGTACCGGGGCGTGTGCCCGAGTGATCCGAATGTTGTGTGGGCCGTGAAGCGAGCTCGAGTGCTGACAAAGGACTTCCAAAGGGAGGTGAGTGCGCACTGCACTGCTATGGGTGGGAGGTGAGGGAGGTACGTGCAGTGGCTTGTGCGGCGGCTTCGGTGACGTGTACCGGGGCGTGTGCCCAACCGATCCCACTTTGCTGTGGGCAGTGAAGCGAGCTCGAGTGCTGACAAAGGACTTTCAGAGAGAGGTAAGCGCACTGTTCCCAGCAGCACCGCACTGCACCCAGTTCTGAGACGTCTCAACAGGTGATGTGTACAGGGGCGTCAGTCCCTTCGATCTGTCTGTGCTGTGGACTGTGATGTGAATGATTCGCGCTCGAGTGCTAAAAAAAGACGACTTTTAAGCCGCCTCGAATCGAAAGTGGGCTGTGAATGATTCGCGCTCGAGTGCTCACAAAAAAGATTTTCAGAGAGAGGTACTGACCACGTGCCTCTACTGTCCTGTACAATCAAGATCGCCTGACTGTCCTTGAACATTTTACCCATACAACCGAAGAAGGTAGCTATCCTGTTAGGATTGATGTGGGGTCCCAGGGTATGTGCTGTTAGGATTGATGTGGGGTCCCAGGGTGTGTGCTGTTAGGATTGATGTGGGGTCCCAGGGTGTGTGCTGTTAGGATTGATGTGGGGTCCCAGGGTATGTGCTGTTAGGATTGATGTGGGGTCCCAGGGTGTGTGCTGTTAGGATTGATGTGGGGTCCCAGGGTGTGTGCTGTTAGGATTGATGTGGGGTCCCAGGGTATGTGCTGTTAGGATTGATGTGGGGTCCCAGGGTATGTGCTGTTAGGATTGATGTGGGGTCCCAGGGTATGTGCTGTTAGGATTGATGTGGGGTCCCAGGGTATGTGCTGTTAGGATTGATGTGGGGTCCCAGGGTGTGTGCTGTTAGGATTGATGTGGGGTCCCAGGGTATGTGCCCGACTGATGCCGGGGTTGTGTCTGCTGTGAAAGTGACTTTTGAGTCGACTCAGAAGTCCCCGCTCAGAGTGTCTCCAGCTTCCCCATTCTCCCATACTCTTGTCTCATTTCACCAGGTGAACGCCATGGCACCGAAGCACCACGTGAGGCTGCTGGGGTTCTGCGTGGACATGAACCCAGCAGCACCGCACTGCACCCCTATTCCCCTTCCTCCGTCACCCACTCCAGGTGAATGCGATGGCATCGAAGGTTGGCATCCCCGCTCACAGCTTCTCCATCTTTCACATTCCTCCACCCCCTTACTCTCTCATCTCATCATCTCATCTCACCAGGTGAACGCTATGGCATCGAAGCACCACCCCAACCTGGTGAGGCTGCTGGGGTTCTGCATCGATTTCAACGCGGACACGGAGGAGATGGAGCAGGTGGTGGTGTATGAGTTCATGGAGAACGGCGATCTCGACCGTTGGATCGGAGACGGTAAGATCTCGGCCGTTGGATCGAGGGGGGTCATGAAATCTAGACCGTTGGATCGAGGATCCTCGCTCTGTGGCTGCTGGGGTTCTGCATCGACTTCAACGCGGACACGGAGGAGATGGAGCAGGTGGTGGTGTATGAGTTCATGGAGAACGGCGATCTCGACCGTTGGATCGGAGACGGTAAGATCTCGGCCGTTGGATCGAGGGGGGTCATGAAATCTAGACCGTTGGATCGAGGATCCTCGCTCTGTGGCTGCTGGGGTTCTGCATCGACTTCAACGCGGGCACGGAGGAGATGGAGCAGGTGGTGGTGTATGAGTTCATGGAGAACGGCGATCTCGACCGTTGGATCGGAGACGGTAAGATCTCGGCCGTTGGATCGAGGGGGGTCATGAAATCTAGACCGTTGGATCGAGGATCCTCGCTCTGTGGCTGCTGGGGTTCTGCATCGACTTCAACGCGGGCACGGAGGAGATGGAGCAGGTGGTGGTGTATGAGTTCATGGAGAACGGCGATCTCGACCGTTGGATCGGAGACGGTAAGATCTCGGCCGTTGGATCGAGGGGGGTCATGAAATCTAGACCGTTGGATCGAGGATCCTCGCTCTGTGGCTGCTGGGGTTCTGCATCGACTTCAACGCGGACACGGAGGAGATGGAGCAGGTGGTGGTGTATGAGTTCATGGAGAACGGCGATCTCGACCGTTGGATCGGAGACGGTAAGATCTCGGCCGTTGGATCGAGGGGGGTCATGAAATCTAGACCGTTGGATCGAGGATCCTCGCTCTGTGGCTGCTGGGGTTCTGCATCGACTTCAACGCGGACACGGAGGAGATGGAGCAGGTGGTGGTGTATGAGTTCATGGAGAACGGCGATCTCGACCGTTGGATCGGAGACGGTAAGATCTCGGCCGTTGGATCGAGGGGGGTCATGAAATCTAGACCGTTGGATCGAGGATCCTCGCTCTGTGGCTGCTGGGGTTCTGCATCGATTTCAACGCGGACACGGAGGAGATGGAGCAGGTGGTGGTGTATGAGTTCATGGAGAACGGCGATCTCGACCGTTGGATCGGAGACGGTAAGATCTCGGCCGTTGGATCGAGGGGGGTCATGAAATCTAGACCGTTGGATCGAGGATCCTCGCTCTGTGGCTGCTGGGGTTCTGCATCGACTTCAACGCGGGCACGGAGGAGATGGAGCAGGTGGTGGTGTATGAGTTCATGGAGAACGGAGATCTCGACCGTTGGATCGGAGACGGTAAGATCTCGACCTTTTGATTGGAGACGGTAAGCATCTATCAACACGACCTGTGATATTAGCCTGTCTTGCCTGATTTGCGTTTCATCATTCCAAGGGGCTCCTGATTACTTCCTCCCGTGTTCCATCAGAGGCACCAAAGCCGCTGTCACTGCCCGAGCGAGTGGACACTCTCATTGGTGCCACTCATGGGATAGGGCATCGGCACAGCTTTGAGACGTCTTAATGCTCAATACTTACACTTTCACCTCCCTTCTCCCATCAGAGGGACTAAAGCCACTCTCCCTATGGGTTGCAGTATCTGCACAGCTGTGGCATCGTGCACTTTCATGCATGCTCCCTACTTTCACCTCCGTCCCTTGCTCCATCAGAGGCACCAAAGGCGCTCTCCCTGCTCGAGCGTGTGAACATTTTCATCGGTGCGGCCCATGGCTTGGAGCATCTGCATTTGAGGCGCCTCAGAAGTCTTCACCACTATCTGCTCCCTACTTTCACCTCCCTCCCTTCTCCCATCAGAGGCTCCGAAGCCGCTCTCCCTGCTCGAGCGTGTGGACATCCTCATCGGTGCGGCCCATGGCTTGGAGCATCTGCATTTGAGGCGCCTCAAAAGTCTTCACCACTATCTGCTCCCTACTTTCACCTCCCTCCCTTCTCCCATCAGAGGCACCGAAGCCGCTCTCCCTGCTCGAGCGTGTGGACATTCTCATCGGTGCGGCCCATGGCTTGGAGCATCTGCATTTGAGGCGCCTCAAAAGTCTTCACCACTATCTGCTCCCTACTTTCACCTCCCTCCCTTCTCCCATCAGAGGCACCGAAGCCGCTCTCCCTGCTCGAGCGTGTGGACATCCTCATTGGCGCTGCCCATGGGTTGGAGTATCTGCACAGCTTTGGCATCGTGCATCGCGACATCAAGCCCGCCAACATCCTCCTAGACGGCAAGATGAATGTGAGCTTGCTCAGAGTTGTACCTTTTTCGTGCAAGTACTATCCCATGGCTTGGAGTATCTACACAGCTTTGGCATCGTGCATCGGGATATCAAGCCCACCACCATTCTCCTCAACGGCAAGATGAATGTGAGCCGGCATTGGTGAATGGGCGCGGGTCGGTAGATAGAGGGGGAAGGGCGGGGCTGCTCTATCTGCACAGCTTTGGCATCGTGCATCGGGATATCAAGCCCACCACCATTCTCCTCAACGGCAAGATGAATGTGAGCCGGCATTGGTGAATGGGCGCGGGTCGGTAGATAGAGGGGGAAGGGCGGGGCTGCTCTATCTGCACAGCTTTGGCATCGTGCATCGGGATATCAAGCCCACCACCATTCTCCTCAACGGCAAGATGAATGTGAGCCGGCATTGGTGAATGGGCGCGGGTCGGTAGATAGAGGGGGAAGGGCGGGGCTGCTCTATCTGCACAGCTTTGGCATCGTGCATCGGGATATCAAGCCCGCGAACATCCTCCTTGAGTGCAAGTTCCAGGTAATACTGTAAATATTTACATGTGTATATTGATGAATATATATTTCTGTGCACATATGCGTTACTGCAAAGTATATTGAACATGTTTTTTTTTTTTTTTTTAAGAGAGGATACCTGAAGGTTTATCACTTGCCACCCCATTTCCCAGTTCTAAAGATTTGATTTCGGCCCCATTATGCAGCTATCATATATCCTTATCCCGCCCTTGTCACACCCCCTTCCCTCCCCCTCCTCTCTTCCCCGTCCCCACCAGGCCAAGATTGCAGACTTTGGGCTGCTGAGGGAAGGGGAGGGCAGCACAGTGGGCAACACCAGAGTGATGGGCACACCGGGCTATGTGGACCCCGCTTACTTCAAGTCACAGAAGGCCACCCCCATGGCGGATGTGCACAGGTAGGTGGTACAGAGCAGTACAGAGTGGTAGAGAGCGGTGCAGAGCAGTACAGAGTGGTGCAAGCCGGTGTTGTCCTGTAATAGAGTGCATGGGAGTGATGGGCACACCGGGCTACGTGGACCCCGCTTCGAGTCACAGAAGGCTACACCGATGGCTGATGTGCACATGTACAGAGCTGTACAGTGTGGTACCGTGCGGTACAGCATTGTATTGAGTGTTGCATTGCGGTACAGAGCGGTGCGAGGCTGTGTTGTCCAGTAAGGAAACGCATGGGAGTGATGGGCATGCCGGGCTATGTGGACTCCGCTTATTTTAAGTTACAAAAGGCTACTCCCATGGCTGATGTGCACAGGTACAGAGAGCGGTACAGCCTGGTACAGAACGGTACTCTCTTGTCATGTGCCCCCTGACCTGCATGTGCCGCTACATGTGCCCATGCATTCCCACATGTCTTTCCATGGCTTTTCGACATGCGTGTCCCCGTCTGTTTCTCTTGTCATGTGCCCCCTGCCCTGCATGTGCCCCCTGCCCTGCATGTGCCCCCTGCCCTGCATGTGCCCTACATGTGCCCTACATGTGCCCCTACATGTGCCCCTACATGTGCCCCTACATGTGCCCCTACATGTGCCCCTGCATTCCCACATGTCTTTCCATGAATACCTGGATTTCGTCCCACATGCCTTGCCATGTGTTCCCACTGCGCACTATCAGCTTTGGAGTGGTGATGCTGGCGGTGATAACAGCACAGCATGCCGTGCGCACCCAGCAGGACACGAGCAGAGTCAACCTCAAGGCATGGGTGAGTTGACTTGCCAGTTCACTTCCAAGCACGAGTAAGCTGACTACCCCACTCACGGTTTGGGCATGGTTTAGCTGACTCGCTAACGAGGTTAATGATATGGGTCATGTCATGGGTGGGTTGCTGACCAACTCAGGAATCAGTAGTGAATAACACATCTGTCATTCATATGTATCCTTTAACATGTACAGTGCTGCGCTGCTCACCCGTTGTTGATTTGTCTTGAGGCACATTGAAGACCAGTGTGAATCAGCTTCAATCCCACCACCCTCTCACTCCTCTCACTCCTCTCACTCCTCTCTCCCCTGTCTCCCTTACAGGTGGCACCTCTAGTTTCTGCTCATGACGTGGCATCCTTCAAAGACCCTCGCCTCGAAGGCCCTGCTGACGTCATCCTCCGCCTCGCTGAGCTGGCGCTGAGCTGTACGGCCATGCCGACCGCATCGCGCCCCGATATGATGCGGATCATTGGAGGTCTCAAGGCGATGCGAGCCGAGCTGACAGGTGGCGATGTGGACGAGCGAGCGATTAGGATTGACTCTGAGCTGGCGATTGGTGTGGGAGAGACGTTGGAGGAACAGATTATGAGGGTGGAGAGCATGGGGGATGGTGACAGGGGAGGACTTAATGAAGACACACCGGATGGTGGGGGTACACAGTGATAGAAGCCAGGTTAGAAAGGTTCGTATTTTATTGGTTTATTGATAGGAATTCCATCGAGGCTTTGAAGGAGCAGATTTCCATTGAGTGGAGATGGTGTCTGTAATGCAGGTGCAACCGTGGGTTACGCATCGACAATATTGGAGGTTGCTTCAGTAGCGTTGCATGTACATATGGGGATGGGGAGGGGGGGTTGGGACTGGTAACCCTTTTTTATAGCTGTATATAGGTGGATAAAAATTCATCAACTCTTTAGTTCTGCAGTTGGAGGTTGGCAATCATTGTACGGATGGATTGGAAGCAAACGCAACAATAGTAGGACCCTTGGAATTGATATATCCATACATTATGTCAAATCAGCACATTGATTCCGACCTGATTGTTGCACCTTGTCTAACCGAGTCGGCCTGTAGACTGTCGCATTGAAATGTATCCATGATCCACAAATTTGCGGGACTGACGCGCGGTGCGGACCTCGCTTGACTGACAGGTTCACAAAAACAGTCGCGTCGCGACTCGACAGTCCCAATGCCCAACCAGGCTTTCCTGTCCATGATCTCGATGAGGCGATACATACCTGTTGAAAAGAGTATCTTTTATTTAGTAGCAGTAGCTTTCTCCAATCCACCCCATTTTCTGCTCAGGTGGTCGTCTTTACGCACGAACACACTCTGTTTCCGAATTGTCCTGGCAGTAACTTATTGTAGGTCGATACTTCTATCCATAGAGCAGCCAAATCGCGGTTAACAATGAGGCGAAGTAGCAGTAGCCGAGCATCAGCGGTCAACCGAACCTTGCTCGTTCTCGCCTTTTTGCTTCTCGCAGCTCCGAATTCTTCTCTTTTCGTTCGATCGCAGCCAGTCGATCCGTCGCAAAGTGAGTTGCGCCGATCCTCCTTGCGATATCGATTGACATTTTGGTGGACTCAAGGAGATTTTTCCACGTGCAATCAGCTGGTTGTTAGAATTCTCTATAGCCAGTTAGATGTTCCACGGTCAAGGCCAGCGGTGCCTCAGGTTGCTTCCCGTCATATTCCCATCTGACGTGACTCCATATTGAACCAAGCTTTCGGGTTTTCATGCACGAGTATGCTCTAAGTGTGATCGTTCGGGTTTTCATGCTAGGGAGATCCGAGTATCATCTTGTCAAGACACGTTCTCATTGACTTATTAAGTCACGGCATTTGAGAATTCTCGAAAGTGATCGATAGTCCATTCTCCCTTGCTCCGCTCCCTGTCCCGCTCTCGCCCTCAAGACCTCCATTTGAATCTTCCTAAATGCGAGTCGCATGTAACTTCACGGTATGGTCAATGCGGTAGGACACTGATTTAAATCGACCCAAAACACTCTCTAGGCTACGGCGTGGTCAGCGGTGTAGGACTATGCCACTTCTCCCTGCAATCCCTCTTCCGAACCCCTATCCTTCCTCCTGCACTCGCTTATTCAGTCCCGTCTCTCCTGGACTGCCAGGCGCTGTGGATCCGCAACTTCACGGGATGGACGACGGGGGAGGACTGCGCCACTGCGGAGGGGCTTTGCTCCACAACTCCTCATCCCCCGTCCCCCTCTTCCCCGCCCCCCCCCCATCCCGTCCCCAGTCCCTGTTCTCCTCGACTGTCAGGCGCTGTGGATTCGCAACTTCACGGGATGGACCACGGGGGAGGATTGTGCCACTGCGGAGGGGCTGCAGTGTGACAGTAACGGGATGATCGTGAAGATGTGAGTTTGTGACTGTAACGGGATGATTGTGAAGATGTGAGTGCGTGACTGTAACGGGGAAATTGTGAAGGAGTGAGTCGAGTCTGACAGTAACGGGACGATCATGAAGATGTGAGTGTGACTGTAACAGGATCCCTTCTCCCGCCCGCTCTCCCATCCCCACCAGGCCAAAGGAAATATCGTCGCTGGCAGCCGCTGCGCTCGCCTCGTGACAACTTGGTGAGCGCCTCACCCGCCTCTCCACACAACCAACCCACCTTCTCAACCCCCCGCTCCTCCCCACCTCCCCCTCCCCCTACACCCTTATCCCCGCCAAGGCTATGGAGATATCGCCTTTTGAGGCGCCTCAAAAGTCCTCCCCGTACTCCCTTATCCCCCGCCAGGGCCATGGAGATATCGCCCCTGGCAGCCGTGCTGCTCTCGTCTATGGGCCTCCTGACGCAGCCCACTCACCCCACCTTCCCTCTCTCTTCCCCCTCCCCGCTCCCCACCTCCCTCTCCCCCCGCTCCCCCCCCCCCTCCCCCTACACCCTTGTCCCCGCCATGGCCATGGAGATATCGTCCCTGGCAGCCGTGCTGAGAAGTCGTCTTCCAGTTTCATGACACATCGCACAACGCACCCAACCACCCGCCCACCCCCCTCACCCCCCTTATACGTGTTTCGAGTCGACTCAACATACGAAGTCGCCCCTGGCAGCCATGCTGAGAAGTCGTCTTCCAGTTTCCTGACACGTCACACAACGCACCCACCCACCCACCCACCTCACCCCCCTTATACCCGCCAGGTCAATGGAAATGTCGTTGCTGGCAGGGGTGCTGCCGTTGTCTACAGGCAACTTCAGCCATGGGCATAATCATCCTCCCTTCCCTGCTCTCCCCCGTCTTCCTCCCTTAAACCCCATCCCCCGCCAGGTCAATGGAGATGTCGTCTCTTGCAGGGGTGCTCCCGTCGTCCATCGGCAACCCGACGCACCCCATGCATCTGACCGACCAGCGCCCTTTTCGCTGCTCTCCCCCCTCTCCAACCACACACGCTCCCTTCTCTTCCCCTCAGGTCAATGGAGATGTCGTCTCTTGCAGGGGTGCTGCCGTCGTCCATCAGCAACCCGACGCACCCCATGCATCTGACCGACCAGCTCCCTTTTCGCTGCTCTCCCCCCTCTCCAACCACACACGCTCCCTTCTCTTCCCCTCAGGTCAATGGAGATGTCGTCTCTTGCAGGGGTGCTGCCGTCGTCCATCAGCAACCCGACGCACCCCATGCATCTGACCGACCAGCTCCCTTTTCGCTGCTCTCCCCCCTCTCCAACCACACACGCTCCCTTCTCTTCCCCTCAGGTCAATGGAGATGTCGTCTCTTGCAGGGGTGCTGCCGTCGTCCATCAGCAACCCGACGCACCCCATGCATCTGACCAACCAGCTCCCTTTTCGCTGCTCTCCCCCCTCTCCAACCACACACGCTCCCTTCTCTTCCCCTCAGGTCAATGGAGATGTCGTCTCTTGCAGGGGTGCTGCCGTCATCCATCAGCAACCCGACGCACCCCATGCATCTGACCGACCAGCTCCCTTTTCGCTGCTCTCCCCCCTCTCCAACCACACACGCTCCCTTCTCTTCCCCTCAGGTCAATGGAGATGTCGTCTCTTGCAGGGGTGCTGCCGTCGTCCATTGGCAACCTGACTCTGCTGACCCACCTGTAAGCTTCACCACAGGATTCTCTTTCGAAAGCTCTCAGCATTTCAACGCACTTGTAAGCTTTACCACAGGACTCTCTGAGGTTGAATTTGAGAATTCTCAAATCAGCCTGGTAGGGGAGCTGCCGTCGTCCATCGGCAACCTGACTCTGCTGACCCACCTGTAAGCTATAACACAGGATTCTCTTTCGAAAGGCCTCAACCATTTCAACGCACCTGTAACCTCGCACTGCTCATGTCAGGCCAGACTGGCCCACGGCTGCATCCCATATAGTCACATCCCAATAATCGCTGCAAGAGTAGCTTGCATGGGGCTGAAATCTGTGCAATATTAACTTTTGAGGCGCCTCAAAAGTAACCTCGCACTGTTCAGATCAGGCCCCACTGGCCCATGGCTGCATCCGTGATAGTCACATCCCAGAAATCACTGCAAGAGTAGCTTGCACGGGGCTGAGCGCATGTGCAATGATAACTCCTCTCTGTGCACTGCTCTCACCCCCGCCCCACACCTCACTCCTAGTCTCCACTCATCCCCTCACCCCTCTCCCTTCTTCTCCCCTCCCCCTTCTTCCTACCCCTTCCCTCACCCCCCTCCCGTCACCACCCCCCATCCCTGTGTGTTTTGAGTCGACTCAAAACACACTTCCTACCCCTTCCCTCACCCCCCTCCCGTCACCACCCCCCATCCCTCACCCCTCCGATGCCCTACCTTCTTCTTTCCCTTCCTCTCATCCTTCCCTTCCCTTCATCCATTCCTGCCCCTCTACCCATCCCTCGCCTCACCCCTCCTCTCCCTCACTCCTCCTCTCCCTCACCCCTCCTCTCCCTCACCCCTCCTCTCTTTCACCCCTCCTCTCCCTCACCCCTCCTCTCCCTCACCCCTCCTCTCCCTCACCCCTCCTCTCCCTCACCCCTCCTCTCCCTCACCCCTCCTCTCCCTCACCCCTCCTCTCCCTCACCCCTCCTCTCCCTCACCCCTCCTCTCCTTCACCCCTCCTCTCCCTCACTCCTCCTCTCCCTCACCCCTCCTCTCCCTCACCCCTCCTCTCCCTCACCCCTCTCCTCCCCTCAACCACTCCTCATCTCGCCCCTCTCCTTACAGAAACTTCTTTCGGAACAATCTTAACAGTGGCATCAGCACCACCTTTGGGGCTCTAACAATCCCACCACCTTGCATGCTCTTGCCTATCCGCTCCTCTCACTGCCTCGCCCTCTCCTCCCCTCCCGTCCTCATCACTCCTCCCAGCAACCTCTTTCAGACCAACCTCTTTGACAGTGACGTCCCCACCACCATTGGGGCGTCCACAAGTCCCACCACCTTGTCCCTCATCAGTTCCCCCAATCCGTCCCTCCACCCCTTCGCCCCTCTGCTCCCAGCAACCTCTATCGGAACAATCTTGACAGTGACGTCCCCACCACCTTTGGCGCTCTCACAATCCCATCACCTTGCATCCCCTTGCCAATCCGCCCCACCCTCTCTCCGGTTCGGCCCTCGCCCTTCCCTCCCCACTTCGTCCCTCCCCTCCCCTCTCCCCTCTCATCACTTCCCCAGCAACTTCTTTCAGAACAACCTGGACAGTGACGTCCCCACCACCTTTGGCGCTCTCACAATCCCACCATCTTTGGCGCTCTCACAATCCCACCACCTTGCATTTCCTTGCCTATCCGCCCTCTCACAAGCTCGCCCCTCCCCTCCCCCTTTCGCCCCTCTCCTCCTTTCCCCTTTGCCTCTCCTCCCAGCAACTTCTTTCAGAACAATCTCAACAGTGACATCCCCACCACCTGTCCTGCCAGCACTCCCATCACCTCCCATCCCATCCTCTCCCCTGTACCTCTCCCCCTTCGCCCTTCTCAACCCCTCGGCCCTAACCTCCTCATCCCTCTCCTCACAGCAACTTCTTTCAGAACAACCTCGACAGCGACATCCCCACCACCTTTGGCGCTCTCACCAACCTGCAGCACCTGTGAGCATGCCGTGTGCTGCCCTGTGCTGCGTCTACCCCATTCTGTGTGCTCTGTGACGCCGTGTGCTGCCCGCCCAGTTCTAGTCAAAACGCAGCTCTATCCTCAGGAACTGTTGTGGTGTGTGTATCCACCGTTCTGCCCCCTTCAGCACCTGCAAGCATGCGCTGTGCTGCCCTGTGCCTTTACCCATCCGCTGTGCTGCCCGCCCAGTTCTAGTCAAAACGCAGCTCTATCCTCAGGAACTGTTGTGGTGTGTGTATCCACCGTTCCGCACCAAGCTAAGATCATGCCCTCTATTCCCCCAGCTTCTCATTCGTTTTCTCCTCCCTCCTCTCCCTTGTCCCTTTTTTGTTTCCTCTCATCCCATCCCCTGCCTTCTCTTATACCCTTTCTCCCCTCTCCGTTCCCTTCCCCCATCACAGCAATCTGGGCATCAACATGCTCACAGGCCCACTTCCTCTCTTCCTCCACACCCTTCCAGTCGACTAGAAGTCCTCTCTCTCCATTTCGCTCCCTCCATTCGATTCCCTTTCACCCCTTCCCCTCCTCCCACCCATCACAGCAATCTGGGCATCAACATGCTCACAGGCCCGCTTCCTCTCTTCCTTGACACACTCTCACTCCTCACCTTCTTGTGAGTGCTCCCCTCCCTCTTTCCTCACCTCCTCACTCTCTCTGCCTGTCGTGGCCCCACTCCCTCTGCCTCCACATGTCACTTTCCACTTACTCCCCTGTACTATTCTCCAAACTTCACGCAAAAGGTTTGTGTGTTTGAGTTTTTGTTTGCCACTTTTTTTGTTTGTTTTTTTTTTTTCCCAGGAATTTGGGCGACAACAAGCTCACAGGGACGCTGTCGGCTGGTCTGGGGAACCTCAAGCAGCTGCAGTTCCTGTGAGTCACTACAATGGCGAATATCAGTATTTGCAAGTGGCTAGTTACAATACAAGTTATTGCCTCACAGTGACAATAAGCTCACAGGGACGCTGTCGGCTGGTCTGGGGAACCTCAAGCAGCTGCAGTTTCTGTGAGTGATTACGCTGGGTATCACGATATCTGTGTGGTTAGATACAAGTCATCGGTACCTGTGAGCTGCTCCAACGGTTATCAGCACAACCAGCTCACAGGGACGCTGGCTGGCTCCCTGCCGTTCACACTTGAATCACTCTCTATCACTCTCTCCCGCTGCATTCACTCTTCATCCTCTCCGCTCTCCCCCTTTTGCTTTCCCCCTTCATCCCTTGCTCCCCAGAGACCTGTCCAAGAATAACGTATCTGGATCCCTGTGCCATACATTTCCACTTCATTTCCACTTCATTTCCACTTCATTTCCACTTCATTTCCACTTCAGTTCCACTTCATTTCCACTTCAGTTCCACTTCATTTCCACTTCATTTCCACTTCAGTTCCACTTCATCCCCCCATGTGCCCCTCGCTGTCCAGAGACGAGACCTGTCCAAGAACAACGTATCTAGATTCCTGCTGTCAAAACTGAGACACTCTCTCCTTTCACCTCCCCAAGTGCATTCACTTCACTCTTCATCCTCTCCGCTCTCCCCTGTGTGCTCTCCCCTGTACCCCTCGCGGTGCAGGGACCTGTCCAAGAACAACGTATCTAGATTCCTGCCGTCCAAATAACTTTTCAATGTAGAAACCGCGTGTAATGAGTCTGCTTTTGAGTCGACTCAAAAGTCTACCCCTTGCGGTGCAGGGACCTGTCCAAGAACAACGTATCTGGATCCCTGCCGTCCACACTGGGATCACTCTCACCCCTCACCTGCATTCACAAGTCATTCTCCGCGCCTCCCCCACTTCCTGCTTCCCCGTTCACCCCTGCCTCTCCAGAGATCTGTCCAAGAACAACGTATCTGCGTCCCTGCCATCAACACTGGGATCACTCTCAACCCTCACATGGCTGTACGTTGCTCGCTCTCCCTCACATGGCTGTACGTTGCTCGCTCTCCCTCACATGGCTGTACGTTGCTCGCTCTCCCTCACATGGCTGTACGTTGCTCGCTCTGGGGGTGCTGCGTCTGGGAGTGCTGAGCCTGGGGGTGCTGAGCCTGAGCGAGCTGAGTCTGGAGGTCCTCCGAGTGTCCCGTCACGCCGGGAGCCCCTCTCTCCTCAGCAGCTTTGTGAGTGGTACGCTCGGCGCTGTTGCCGTGCTGCTGGTGCTGGAGCTGCTGGAGGTGCTTCAGGAGCTGCTGGAGGTGCTGCTGGTGCTGGAGCTGCTGGAGCCGCTGGTCCTGGAGGTGCTGGTGCTGGAGCTGCTGGAGCCGCTGGTCCTGGAGGTGCTGGTGCTGGAGGTACTGGCGCTGTTGACGGTCCTGCTGGTGTTGGAGCTGTTGGAGGTGCTGGAGCAGCTAGTCCCGGAGGTGCTTGTACTGGAGGTACTGGAGATGCTGGGGCTGTTGGTGCTGCAGGAGTTGGAGCTGCAGGTGTTGGAGCTGTTGCTACTGGAGGTGCTTCTGGAGCTGGAGCTGTTGGAGGTACTGGAGCTGGTGGTGCTGCGAGAGTTGTAGTTGGAGACCCTAGAGCTGAGGGTACTGGTGCTGTCTCTGCTGTTTCTCACGTCATCATCCTAATCTTCCTCCCCCTCTTTCCCTCGTTTAATCCCCCCTTTTCTCCTGGTTTCCCCTCACGCCTTTCCGCCCCTGTTGTCCGTCTCACCCCCTCTAAACACCCCACCTCAAACCTCCCCTCGCCCCCATCCCACACCCTTCATCATTTCTCTGTTCTTTCAAACCTCACAGATCAACCCCCAGTTCCACCACCGACCTTAAAGCCCTCCCCCACCACCTTTCACTCATCTTCCCTGCCCGTTATCCTCGTTACAGTGATCTTCAATACAATGCTTTGGAGAACAGCATCCCCAGTTCCATCACCAACCTCACCGGCCTCACCTACCTGTGAGTTCATTTTTGTTCTAAATTTATTGTATGTATATATATTCTCTCTAAATATTTGATATGATACTGATTCTGAGTCACCTCAGAATCACCATCCCCAGTTCCATCAGCAAAAATCCCCCCCAACAGCTCTGTTCCGATGTGTAATGAACCTTAACTTGACTCACAGTTGTCACCATTCCGCGTCCCTCTCCTCTGCAGAAACCTTACAAGCAACAAGCTCAACGGCTCTGTTCCCATATTCCACAATTCACTTAAAGCTGAATCAGTGATTCGCTTCCTCTCCTCCTCTCCCTCCCCCCCACCCTCCTCTACCCCACATCCTTCTCCCCCTGCAGCAACCTTGCAATCAACAAGCTCAACGGCTGTTCCCATCTTTAGGTTTCCGCTTGTATTGATTCACAATCTTCCTTCCTCTCTCGCCCTTTCCCTCCTTCTTTCTCCCCCTCTCCTCTGCAGCAACCTTGCAAGCAACAAGCTCAATGGCTCTGTTCCTGTATTTGACGGCTTCCCTGCACTCACCTACCTGTAATGCCTCTCTCGATAATGTCACACTTGTTAGAGTTGCTTCACGGTTTCCCTACAACCACCTACCTGTACCGCCTTTTACGTTAGTGTCATGCTTGTTAGTGCCACTGACAACCACGCTACACCCACCCTCCAGTAATGCCAAAACGCGCCACTGCTTCACCCGCCTTTGTTACCCTTCACAACCACACAAGGAAGACCCGTCGCGTTCGACTGTCACTTTTGCGGATTATCACATGTGACACACACAAGAGTTGTAGTTCAAGTTCAAGAAAGCACAGGGAGTCTGCAACCAGTTCTCCCTCCCCTTGTCCAAGCACAGGGAAATGGAGAGTAATGGGGTTCTTTTGTTCTCTTCTTCTCCCTTCCTCTCATGCTTCCCCACCTTTCCTTGCAGCGGCCTGGGAGGAAACAGCCTGCAAGGAACCTTCCCTGTCACGGGCAACCAGGCTCTTCACCAAAAGCCCCGAAGATGTGTTGCGAGACAACTCAAGATGTGTTTCGATTCGACTTAAAACCTCCTCTCTCTCGTGCTTGCTCAATCTCCCTTGCAGCGGCCTGGGAGGAAACAGCCTGCAAGGAACCTTCCCTGTCACGGGCAACCAGGCTCTTCACCAAAAGCCGCGAAGATGTGTTGCGAGACAACTCAAGATGTGTTTCGATTCGACTTAAAACCTCCTCTCTCGTGCTTGCTCAATCTCCCTTGCAGCGGCCTGGGAGGAAACAGCCTGCAAGGAACCTTCCCTGTCACGGGCAACCAGGCTCTTCACCAAAAGCCCCGAAGATGTGTTGCGAGACAACTCAAGATGTGTTTCGATTCGACTTAAAACCTCCTCTCATGCGTGCTTGCTCAATCTCCCTTGCAGCGGCCTGGGAGGAAACAGCCTGCAAGGAACCTTCCCTGTCACGGGCAACCAGGCTCTTCACCAAAAGCCCCGAAGATGTGTTGCGAGACAACTCAAGATGTGTTTCAATTCGACTTAAAACCTCCTCTCTCGTGCTTGCTCAATCTCCCTTGCAGCGGCCTGGGAGGAAACAGCCTGCAAGGAACCTTCCCTGTCACGGGCAACCAGGCTCTTCACCAAAAGCCCCAAAGATGTGTTGCGAGACAACTCAAGATGTGTTTCGATTCGACTTAAAACCTCCTCTCTCGTGCTTGCTCAATCTCCCTTGCAGCGGCCTGGGAGGAAACAGCCTGCAAGGAACCTTCCCTGTCACGGGCAACCAGGCTCTTCACCAAAAGCCGCGAAGATGTGTTGCGAGACAACTCAAGATGTGTTTCGATTCGACTTAAAACCTCCTCTCTTGTGCTTGCTCAATCTCCCTTGCAGCGGCCTGGGAGGGAACAGCCTGCAAGGAACCTTCCCTGTCACGGGCAACCAGGCTCTTCCCCTCACGGAGTGTTTCGAGAAGACTCAATGTGTGTTTTAAGTCGACTCAATTCCTCTTCTCCTGCGTGTGTTCCCACCTTCCCTTGCAGCGGCCTGGGAGGGAACAGCCTGCAAGGCACCTTCCCTGTCACGGGCAACCAGGCTCTTCCCCTCACGGAGTGTTTCGAGAAGACTCAATGTGTGTTTTAAGTCGACTCACTTCCTCTTCTCCTGCGTGTGTTCCCACCTTCCCTTGCAGCGGCCTGGGAGGGAACAGCCTGCAAGGCACCTTCCCTGTCACGGGCAACCAGGCTCTTCCCCTCACGGATTGTTTCGAGAAGACTCAATGTGTGTTTTAAGTCGACTCAATTCCTCTTCTCCTGCGTGTGTTCCCACCTTCCCTTGCAGCGGCCTGGGAGGGAACAGCCTGCAAGGCACCTTCCCTGTCACGGGCAACCAGGCTCTTCCCCTCACGGAGTGTTTCGAGAAGACTCAATGTGTGTTTTAAGTCGACTCAATTCCTCTTCTCCTGCGTGTGTTCCCACCTTCCCTTGCAGCGGCCTGGGAGGGAACAGCCTGCAAGGCACCTTCCCCGTCACGGGCAACCAGGCTCTTCCCCTCAAGACACTGTGAGTCGCAGCCAGGAAAGACTGCTTGCTTTGACCTCGTTACTATCACACGCACTTCCTTTTCTGTCACGGGCAACCAGGCTCTTCCCCTCAAGACACTGTGAGTCGCAGCCAGGAAAGACTGCTTGCTTTGACCTCGTTACTATCACACGCACTTCCTTTTCTGTCACAGGCAACCAGGCTCTTCCCCTCAAGACACTGTGAGTCACACACACTCGGCCTTGACCCTGCCTGTGCCCTGCCTTGCCGCGACCCTGCCATCGCCGTTTCTCCATGCTTCGTCCCTGCTGTTCTCTCCCCATCCTCCCCCCTTCATGCCTCTCCACACCCACCACAGACCTTCGAGGCAACATCTTTAAGCTTGCAGGCAGCATCTGTGACCCTGCCATGCCATCACCGTTTCTCCATGCTTCGTCCCTGCTGTTATCTCTCGATCCACACCCCTTCCTGCCTTTTCCCACCCCACCAGCAACCTCCGAGGCAACAAGCTTGCACCATCCCTCGCTCCATTTCCTACTCTGTCTGCTCTCAGGCATCTACCTTTGTCTCCCATCCCATCCTCCCCCTTTCCTGCCTATCCACAACCACTAGAGACCTCCGAGGCAACAAGCTTGCAGGCACCATCCCTCGCTTCATCTCCTCCCTCTCCGCACAGGAGTCCCTGATAACATCTCCCCGCCTCCCATCTCCCCATCTCCTTCCACCCTCCCCTGCCTCTTTCCATCCCACCAGCGACCTCCGAGGCAACAAGCCTCGCAGGCGGCATATTTCTACTAATACTCTCTCCTTGCTCCATCTCCTCCCTCTCGGCTCAGGAGCCCCTGAATTAGAGGCCCTAATACTCTCTCCCCATCTCCCATCATTCTTATCTTCGATCTCTTCACTCCACCACCTTACCCCACCAGAGACCTCCGAGGCAACAAGCTCGCAGGCAGCATCCCTCGCTCCATCTCCTCCCTCTCTGCTCTCGAGCATCTGTGAGTTGGTGATGGGGGTGCCGCAGGGTGGTTGACGTGTGAGTCTCCTCCTCCCTGGTGAGGAGTCCACTGTTGGAGATTGACTAGAGCAACAGGGTGATCAACTTCAGGATTGCCCGCTGTTGTTCAAACCTCACGCCCCATCCCTTGCTCCATCTCCTCCCTCTCTGCTCTCGAGCATCTGTGAGTTGGTGATGAGTGGGCGGCTGTGTGATTGACTTGTGAGTAGCCTCAATTCTGGATTTCCCATGCTGCTCAAGCCTCACACCCCATCCCTCGCTCCATCTCCTCCCTCTCATCTCTCGAGCATCTGTGAGTTGGTGATTGGGGGGTGCGGCAGAGTGATTTCCTCGTGAGTTTCCTCCTCCCTGGTGAGTATCTTTGAGGCACTTAAAAAGTCGGATGCTAGATGGAGATGGGGGGTGCGGCAGAGTGACTTCCTCGCGAGTTTCCTCCTCCCTGGTGGGGATCCCACTGTCGACGAGCAACTACTGTGGGATCAACTTTAAGATTTCCTCCCTCTCAGCTTTTGAGTCAACTCAAAAGTCACCTGATGGGGATCCCACTGTCGACGAGCAGCAACTGTGGGATCAACTTTAGGGAGGACGAAACTTTAGGACCCTCCCTCTCCTCTTTCTGCCTGCCAGACGCCATTTTGAGTACTCTGTCCCTCGCCCATCCACTCGCTGACTCCCTTCCCATCCTTCTTTCTTCCCCTGCAGGCTTACTCATCCCACCCCTCTCTTCCCCTCCCTTGCAGCCTAGTATCAGAGAATCGCTTCAAGGATTCACCACCCGACTCCATCACGAGCCTCGTCAGCCCAAGCCCACCACCCCCCTCGACCACTCCCCACCACCCCCCTCGACCACTCCTCACCACCCCCCTCGACCACTCCCCACCACCCCTCTCGACCACTCCCCACCACCCCCCTCGACCACTCCCCACCGCCCCCCTCGACCACTCCCCACCACCCCCCTTCTTGCTCCCCTCTCTCGCTTCCTCTGCAGGCTGCTATCAGAGAATCGCTTCAACGGCTTCCTACCTTACTCATTATGAACGCTCTGGCCATTCCAGCCAACCACCCCTTCCTCTCATTCCTACCCTACCACCCCCATTCCTCTACAGCTTGCTATCAGAGAATCGCTTCAATGGCTTCATACCCGATTCCACCATAAAACCAGTCAGCCCAAGCCCTCTTGCTGCTTGATTCCCTTGTTCCCTTGTTCCCTTGTTCCCTTGTTCCCTTGTTCCCTTGTTCCCTTGTTCCCTTGTTCCCTTGTTCCCTTGATTCCCTTGTTCCCTTGTTCCCTTGTTCCCTTGTTCCCTTGTTCCCTTGTTCCCTTGTTCCCTTGATTCCCTTGTTCCCTTGTTCCCTTGTTCCCTTGTTCCCTTGTTCCCTTGATTCCCTTGTTCCCTTGTTCCCTTGATTCCATTGTTCCCTTGTTCCCTTGTTCCCTTGTTCCCTTGTTCCCTTGTTCCCTTGTTCCCTTGTTCCCTTGTTCCCTTGTTCCCTTGTTCCCTTGTTCCCTTGTTCCCTTGTTCCCTTGATTCCCTTGTTCCCTTGTTCCCTTGATTCCCTTGTTCCCTTGATTCCCTTGTTCCCTTGTTCCCTTGTTCCCTTGTTCCCTTGTTCCCTTGTTCCCTTGTTCCCTTGTTCCCTTGTTCCCTTGTTCCCTTGTTCCCTTGTTCCCTTGTTCCCTTGTTCCCTTGTTCCCTTGATTCCCTTGTTCCCTTGTTCCCTTGTTCCCTTGTTCCCTTGTTCCCTTGTTCCCTTTTTCCCTTGTTCCCTTGTTCCCTTGATTCCCTTGTTCCCTTGTTCCCTTGTTCCCTTGTTCCCTTGTTCCCTTGTTCCCTTGTTCCCTTGATTCCCTTGTTCCCTTGTTCCCTTGATTCCCTTGTTCCCTTGATTCCCTTGTTCCCTTGTTCCCTTGTTCCCTTGTGTTAGTGTTAGCCTTCAATCTCACACTTTGTACTTTGTATTTTCTATATCCTAGAGTAGTGTAGTTTGCACATTGTGTTTGGTTGGGTGTACACCTACATCCCAACCAAACCCAAATGTAATCTCCAAGCAATCTCCAACCCACCAATTGGAGATTGCCTTGGGATTACCCCCAATCCCTATGGATTGCCCCCGATTCCCTTCCCCATCCATTCCCTCCCCTTCTTGGATGTACTTAAAGCCAGGATCTCAAGTAGTTCAATTGTTTTGCAGTTGGTGGGTGTGCCGCACGCTCACTTTCCTAACCAGCCAGTCAATTCGCCTACAAAAATAGGGTAACAAGCGCTGCAAGTGTTTTGCAATTGAAGGCCAATTCTCTTACTTGAGATCCTGGCTTTAAAGAGCTTCAAGCTCATTACTAATGTATCCCTTCTAAGCCTAAGTTATGAGATGGTATCAGAGCCCTTCAAACCGCACACGCGGATCGTGATCCTCTTATCTCTGCGGATGTTCGTCCCGCAAACCTCGGCGTAACCGCCTTCAATCTCGTCGCCGTTGATTCGCGACATTCGTCGGCGGAAATTCTTCCGCACCACCTTCCCTTCACTCTCGACGGCATCTACTATCTCACTGGTAAGCGCATCGTCGGCGCTTTAACCTATCGCTCGTTTTCGTCGAACATCATCGCGTCATTCCTTCTCCTCGTCGGGCTGTCGCCCGTCGCCCTGCAGCTTCTCGTCGGGCCGCCGCCCGTCGCCCTGCAGCTTCACCTTCGGGCTGCCGCCCGTCGCTCCGCATCTGCACTCCTACCCCCATTCCCCTCCCTTTCCCGCAGCTGAACAGGTGCAGCAGCGCAGCCGAGCAGCAGCGTAGCCGCGAAGCCGAGCAGCCGTGTAGCCGCGAAGCCGAGCAGCAGCGCAGCCGAGAAGCTGAGGGTGGTGTGTGGGGGGGTGTGTGGGAATAGGATTAGTAGGTAGTTGACACTAAATTGGCGTTTCAGTCGAATTCTCCTTCAGAAACCCTAAACCTCAAAATTCTCTTTCGTAAACCCTAAACCTCCGGTTCTTCAAAATCTCCTTCGGAAACCCCAAACCTCAAGTTCCTATCGTTGACTCAAGAGCGGCGCTCCGCGCGACACCCTAAGGGGTCTCCATCATGGCATTCGCCTCGTCCACCATGGCCAACCCCATCACCCCACTCCGTCTTGACGCCGATGGCTCTAGCTCCAACTTCAAGGCATGGAGCTATGGGGTTGACAAGCACCTGCTGAGCCGTGACGTGTAGGGATTGGACCTCAAGGATGTCCTCCTCAACCGTGGCAAGGGAAAACAGCCCCTTCTCCCTCGCGAGCCGACCGAATCCGCTAGTGAGGCTGACACAAAGGCATATGAGGAAGCCGTTGAGAAGTACCGGAAGTGGGAGAAGGCCGATGCTGCAATTATCAGCGTCTTCATCGCCTCCCCCCCTCCAGAACTTGTCAACACGTTCCATAACTACCCTACCTCCAACGCCATCTGGAAGTATCTCCAGGATCGGTTTATGAACAAGACTGCAGTCGGAGTTGCCATCCTCATCCCCAGCATGTTCCAGGTCCGCCTTGAGGATTGCTCAGGAATGGCCGACTACATTGCCAAGGTTCAGACCATTCATGGCGAACTCAAGGAGCTGGGTATAGTCTTCCCCGAACAGGCCCCTGCAGCAGCTCTTCTCGTTGGTCTCACCACAACCTATGAAATCACAAGGAAGATGCTCCTCACGCTGACTGCGGAAGACCTCACTTTTGCCAAGGTCTCCACCGCACTCCTCTCTGCCGAGAAAGACTCCACGGCTCAGGCCAAGGCTTACGCCTTCCGTGCTCCCATGCCTCAAGCCAGTGTCGCATCGGCCCTTGCCTCGGCGCCCCTCCAGCGCAACCGCTTCCCACCGTGCACCTACGTCGTCAAGTATGGCAACCGCAAGGGACAAGTGTGTGGTGGCACTAACCACCCCCTTGCTACGTGCTTCAAGAAAAAGGACGACGAATGGTACGCCATCCACGGCATAGACAAGAGGCCACCGAACTGGATGCGTGCGCGTAAGGCCAACCTGGTTGAGGTCCAGGACCCCGCTTCGGCTAGTGCTAGTGATAGTGCTCCTGCTGATGCCCGTATCAACCTGTTGTTCCCTGGCACTGCCATGATTAATGAAGCTTCCTCCCAGTACCCCGGCTCATCACAAGCACCACAATACATAGAGTTCACACTCGACAGCGGCGCCACACACACTGTACTCAAGGAGACACTCTCCTTCAAACCCTACGCAACACCCATCCCTCTCCTAGGAGCTGACTCAAGCTTCACCACTCATGCCAAGGGTTCATCCACAGTCCCGTGCCCCGCCTTCCCTTCCGGCACTGTCACTGGAATGTGCGTGCCTTCACTCCGCCACAATCTCGTGGCCCAAACGGAAATTCAGGAAGCTGGACTACGCACCATCTTCTGGGAGAACGAGAACTATGGTGATATCCTCGACCCACTCACCAACAAGGTCTTGACTCGTTTCACCCTCAACAGCAGCGGCCTTTACACGCTGCAAGTATCCATCCCACAGGTGTCAACCACCCAAACAGCGGCGACTACCTCACCATGCTCGTGCCGCAGTTTCTCCAACCCGACCATACTCTACCACCATCGGCTCGGGCACCCAAACTTCCGCACACTTGCTGACATGGCCTCCAAGAAACTTCTACTCGGCCTGCCAGCCTCACTTCCTCCACCACCAGACTCCCCCGCTCCCACGTGCCTTGACTGCACCAAGAGCAAACTGCGTCAACAGCCCCACCCGGCCTCACCCTCTGTCGCAGCAGGACCACTGGACCTGGTACACCTGGACGTCTGGGGCCCTGCCCCTGTTCCCGCACGAGGTGGTTATCGCTACTTCCTTGTTATCGTCGATGACCACTCTCGCTACGTCTCTGTTCACCTCCTCCACACTAAGGCTGCGGTTCCAGAGGTCCTCATGGCGTGGGTTAAACAGGCACAGACCGCCTTTGACCGCAAAGTCAAGCGCCTCCACTCAGATGGTGGTGGTGAGTTTTGCAACGACAAGCTCAAAGCCTTCTGCTCTTCAGAAGGCATCCAGCAAAACTTCACCCTCCCTGACAGCCCGCAGCAGAACGGCATAGCTGAGAGCCGCAACCACACCCTGGTGCAGATCACTCGGTGCCTCCTCAGCCACTCCAACGCTCCACACTCTCTTTGGGGATACGCTCTCTACCACGCCGCCCTCCTCTACAACCTTTACCCCCACCCGCATCTTCCCGACACCACTCCAACCACACTTTGGCTCGGGAAAACGCCCACTGCTCGCTCTCTTCGCGTTTGGGGGTGCACCGCCTATGTCCTCCTCAACCCTCAGGCTCGACGGCAGCACGGCGGCAAGCTCGGTCCCAAGACCCAGACATGCATCTACCTCGGACACAACGCCGACTCGCCTGACTACCTCTTCCTCAATCCCTCCACTCAGCAGTTGGTCCGGAGCCGCGACGTTGTCTTTGATGAGACCCGCCCATTCTACTCCACTTCGGGACGGGACCCTCTCCCTGACCCACCCTCCCTCGTGTGGGCAGACTTTGATGCGCCTCCTGACCTCTCGCCTGCTCCGGCCCCTTCACCCCCTACCCCTCCTGCCACCGCACCGTCCCCCTCTGCTGTCTCTGACCCGCTCTCACCGGTGTCTTCGGCAGCTGCTCCTCCATCCCCCTCACTTCCCACTCCGCCGACTGTGCAGCCACCTCCGAGCGCACCTATCACCTACCATCGGCGGTCCCACCCTCCGGCCCCACCTCCTCCCCCGGTTCCCCCCACCACAGAGGAACCCGCTCTCCCACAGTCGCCCGAGCTGATCACGTACCACCGGCGGCCCATTCCCCCGCCCAAGCCTCCTAAGTCAACCCCTCCGACACCGCCTGCCCCACCCTCTTCTCCGGTGGCTCATGGCACTCGTTCGCATGGCGCGGCTCTTCCACTAGCGCTGGTTCTTCGATACACGGCGATCACACCGCCTCCTCCTGCTGGGGGGGATGTGCCCTCTACCCTTCTGGAAGACAGGCATGAGGAGCTGTGTGATCTTCATGCAGTCATTCCTCAGCTCTCGCACATCTTTCCCGACATCACTGACTCACCCTCCCTCAACTTCGCGGAGAACCCGACCATCCCTATCCCTCTCACCGTCCAAGAGGCTCTCTCAGACCCTCATGCTGCCGAATGGCGTGCTGCCATGGAAGCGGAGATTGCAGCATTCACCCGCAACCACTCCTTCGACGACGAGACACCACCTCCAGGAGTCAACATCGTCGGGGGCAAGTGGTTGTTCCGTGTAAAACAGCTCCCAGACGAGGCCCCGGTGTTCAAAGCGCGTTACGTAGCCAAGGGCTTCACCCAGCAGCAGTACCGCGACTTCTTTCTAACCTTCTCCCCCACATCCAAACCTCCCACCATTCGTACGCTCATGGATGTCGCAGCTCGAGAAGACTTTGAGATCAAATCCATGGATGCCTCATCCGCCTTCCTACAAGGACGTCTCAAGGAGACGGTGTTCATGGACAGACCAGAAGGCTTCCCAGGAGAATTCCCTCCCAACACTGTCTGGAAGCTGAATCGCCCCGTCTACGGCCTTAAGCAAGCCCCTCGCGAATGGCACAACAAGGTGAAAGAGGTCCTCCTCTCCCTGGACTTCCACCCTTCAACTGCTGACCCGACTCTCTTCATCCGCCGTCACTCTGAGCCATTCTACATCCTGGTCTACGTGGATGATTTCATCCTCGTTGCCAAGGACTCGGCCCAGATGACCTCTGTCCAGGCAGCCCTGAGCAAGGCTCTCCAGATGAAAGACCTCGGTGACCTCAAGCACTACCTGGGGATGGAGATCACTCGTGATCGCCAGGCTCGCACCATTTCACTCTCCCAGGAGTTCTACATCGGTTTGAGATGGAGCTGTGCACACCTGTTGCCACCCCGCTGCCGCTGCAACACCTCCTCACTGCTCCAGCTGTACCCACACCAGAGGCCTGCTCTGAGCCATACCCGGAGCTTGTTGGGTCCCTCATGTACGCCATGATGTGCACCCGACCGGACTTGGCCTATCCTGTCAGTGTCCTCTCTCGCTACGTGGCCCCTGGACGCTTCACTGAACTTCACTGGAAGGCGGCGAAGCGGGTGCTGAGCTATCTTCAGGGCACCAAGTCTCACGTTCTCACACTCGGTGGGCTCTCCCCTCCTCGCCTGGAAGGTTACACCGACTCCTCCTGGGCTGATGACCAGACCGACTGACGCTCCTCTCAGGGGTACTGCTTCACCCTTGGGAGCGGAATTGTCAGTTGGCGCTCCACCAGGTCGTCTGCAGTCTCCCTCTCCTCCTGTGAGGCAGAGCTCTACGCAGGCACCATGGCTGCTCAGGAGGCCCGTTGGCTCACCTTCCTACTCCAGGAGCTTGGTTTCCCACAGTCCGCCCCCACCCTCTGGTGTGACAACCAGAGTACCATCCACATCTCTCAAGACCCTGTGTATCACACCCGCACCAAGCATATTGAGCTTCGGCACTTCTTCATCCGTGACCTTGTCCAACAGGAGCAGCTGAAAGTGGAATACGTTGCATCTGACTGCAACCTGGCTGATCTGTTCACCAAGCCCCTTGGGAAAGTTCCCCACCACCGTCTCCTAGGCGCCATGGGGCTCTGTGCACCACCCTCTCTACCATGAGTTCGATTGACGCCTATGGGGGGGTGTTAGTGTTAGCCTTCAATCTCACACTTTGTACTTTGTATTTTCTATATCCTAGAGTAGTGTAGTTTGCACATTGTGTTTGATTGGGTGTACACCTACATCCCAACCAAACCCAAATGTAATCTCCAAGCAATCTCCAACCCACCAATTGGAGATTGCCTTGGGATTACCCCCAATCCCTATGGATTGCCCCCGATTCCCTTCCCCATCCATTCCCTCCCCTTCTTGGATGTACTTAAAGAGCTTCAAGCTCATTACTAATGTATCCCTTCTAAGCCTAAGTTATGAGACCTTGTTCCCTTGTTCCCTTGTTCCCTTGTTCCCTTGTTCCCTTGTTCCCTTGTTCCCTTGTTCCCTTGTTCCCTTGTTCCCTTGTTCCCTTGTTCCCTTGTTCCCTTGTTCCCTTGTTCCCTTGTTCCCTTGTTCCCTTGTTCCCTTGTTCCCTTGTTCCCTTGTTCCCTTGATTCCCTTGTTCCCTTGTTCCCTTGTTCCCTTGTTCCCTTGTTCCCTTGTTCCCTTGTTCCCTTGTTCCCTTGTTCCCTTGTTCCCTTGATTCCCTTGTTCCCTTGTTCCCTTGTTCCCTTGTTCCCTTGTTCCCTTGTTCCCTTGATTCCCTTGATTCCCTTGTTCCCTTGTTCCCTTGTTCCCTTGTTCCCTTGCCCACGGCTGTCTGCCCGTCTCCCTCCTTGATTCTGAGGTTCCCGTCCTTCCGTCTTCCCTTACTCCCCTCTTCCTTTCCTTCCCCCTGCAGCCTGCTGTCGGAGAATCGCTTCAGCGGATTCATTCCCGGCTCCATAACAAGCCTAGTCAGGCCAAGCCCGCCCATTCCTCCACTCCCTTGTTCCGTTCTTCCCTTAATCCCCTCTTCCTTTTCTTTCCCCTGCAGCCTGCTGTCGGAGAATCGCTTCAATGGATTCATACCCGACTCCATCATGAACCTAGTCAGCCTCGAGTACCTGTGAGTCAGCATCTTGTGTTTGCGAGTCAGCACCCAGCATCTGTGAGTCAGCATTTCATGTCTGTGAGTCAGCCTCCTTACCTGTGACTCACCACTACTAGTCTACTTTCGCCTCCTCCAACCTTTTTTAACCCCTCCTCCTTTATGCTAAGGGAAACGAGTCCTGTACTGTACCTGCACCATCTTTACCATCCGCTCCCCTCTTCCTATACACCGTCGCTCCCCTCCCCCTTCACACTCATTCTCTCCCCGTCTATCAAAAGAATGAGCTTCAACCGCCTGTAGGTGTCGATTCATTCCACCATATAGTGAGGTGTATTTTGAGGCGCCTCAAAATACACCTCACTACACTCAAATTGATGAGCTTCAACCGCCTGTAGGTGCCTATTCATTCCACCATATCCCCCCCTTAACACCATACATCCCCCTTCCATCATCCCTCCTCCCCCGCCCCCTGCACACCTTTCCTCCCTTCTGCCAGGGGAATGGGCGTCAATCGCCTACAGGGGCCAGTCCCGTCCACAATGGGCAACCTTGTCAAGCTGACGGCGCTGTGAGTGGTTGTGCGCGGTGTGATGCGGTGACACGAGGTGTGATGCGGTAACATGGGGTATAATGAGCAGGCCGGAAGGCGTGTGAGGGGAATGAGTGCCAACTGCCTGCAGGGGCCAGTCCCGTCCACCATGGCCAATCTTGTCAAGCTGACTGCGCAGTGAGTGGTGGTGTGTGGTGAGACGAGGTGTGATGTGGTAACAATTGTCTGCAGGGGCCAGTCCCGTCCACCACGGGCAACCCTGTCAAGCTGACAGCGCTGTGAGTGGTGGTGTGCGGTGATAAGGAGTGTGATGCGGTAACAATCGCCTGGAGGAGCCAGTTCCGTTTACCATGGGTGATCTTGTCAAGCTGACAGCCCTGTGATTGGTGGTGGTGTGCGATGATAAGGAGTGTGATGCGGTAACATGGGGATAATGAGTAAGGCGAGAGGTGGGTGAGAGGAATGATCTCCAACCGAACAGCTGCAGGGGCCAATCCCAACCACCAGCATGGGTAACCTAACCTTTTCAAGCTGACGACCCTGTGAGTGGTGGTGGTGATGTGGGGATACGAGGTGTGATGTGGTAACAACCGTCTGCAGGGGCCAATCCAGACCACCAGCATGGGTAACCTAACCTTGTCAAGCTGAAGAGCCACCCTTGGTAACACCATCACACCCATCCTCACCGACTGCAACCGCCCTGCACCCCTCTGTTTCCCATCCCCCAGCAACATGTCAGGCAACCGGATGGCAGGAATCCTGCCTGCCACACTCGGCTCTCTCACCAAGCTCACCCTGCTGTGAGTGCTCTCTAATCTATGTCCTCTGCTCTCTGCTCGCTTCTCTATTCATGTGTGCGCTCTGCTGTGAGTGTTCCACCTCCTCTGCCCCTTCTCCAGCACCTATGCTGATTATGTTTCTCCTTTCATTTCGGTCCTGCCTATTCCCTCCTTTCCCGCTGCTACAGGGACTACGACAGAAATTTTCTGTCCTGCCCGACCGATGGAAACTGCGTGGTGTCCCAGAAAAGCACCACCGCGTTTTGCAAGAGCTGCCCGACCTTCTGTGCTCCGTGCTATGGGAAAGGAGGTGAGGAGAGGGAGTGAGTCGAGGTGATGGAAGGGAGTGCGAAGGATGCGAGAGAGGATAGCAAGCCACATGTGCTGCTGCCATGTGCAATTTCTACCCGACCTTCTGTGCGCCGTGCTGCGGGAAAGCAGGTGAGGAGAGGGGGGTGAAGGGAGGGAGGGACTGGAAAACGGAGGTGAGGAGAAGAAGTGGAAGTTTCATGTGTTGCTGCCATGTGTGTGAGAGGGTGCAAGAACTATTCGACCTTCTGTGCGCCCTGCTATGGGAAAGGAGGTGAGGAGAGGGAGTGAGAAGGAAGGTGGGGTTTGGGGTGAGAAGGAAGGTGCAGACAGGAGGCAGTGAGGTGGTACAGAGGGGAGAGGCACATGTATTGCTGCCATGTATCGAGGCTGCAATAGCTGCCCGACCTTCTATGCCCCGTGCTGCGAGTGAAAGGAAGTTAGGAGAGGAAGTGAGAAGGAAGGTGCAGACAGGCAGTGAGGTGGTACAGAGAGGAGAGGCACATGTTCAGTTGCCATGTGTTGAGGCTGCAATAACTGCCCGACCTTCTGTGCCCCGTGCTACAGGAAAGGAGGTGAGGACTTGAGGAGAGGAGAGGCGGGTGAAGGGAGGGAGTGAAAAAGGGAGGTGGTGAGAAGAAGAGGGGGTTTCATGTGTTGCTGCCATATGTCAAAGCTGCAGAACTGCCAGACCACCTGTGTGCTGTGGGAAAAAGGAGGTGAGGAGAGGGTGAGTTGGGGATATGAAGCGAGGAGAGGAAGCGAGAAGTGAAGCGAGGAGAGGGACTGACCTTGTGAGTCAAGTCAATTCAAAACGTGGCACTAGTTTTTATCCAAATATGCTCTCACCTTCTCCTCTGCCTGCCCTCGAATCTTGTGTCCCTTGTGTTCAGCAGCCTCAGGCACTCACTCAAGTTTGTACAGGATATTGGCAGCTGTATTTGTGGTTATATTGCCTATCCTCATAGGGTGACCGGCTGACGTGCTGTCACAGGTCCTAAAGGCCCTCACATGCTCAGTTTTCAGCGTTTAAGTGTTCCCTGAAGTATGAATTCACATTTTGCCGGCTCTCCTTGCGGTTAGAAGCGCATTTTTGCTCATTCAGTATAGGCAGCTTCAAAGCAGCTATTTAGTGGGTACTATGGATGGTTCCATGCATACTTGTGTCTACGGAAGTGGTAGTGGTAGATATATGAGTACACAATGAGAAAGAACACTTTCTAATAACATAACAAAGCAACACATATAAGGCACGTAACAAATTAACATAAAAAGCATATCATTCCCTTTTGCAACGCTGGGCATGCACAGTTTAACATGCCAAAGAACAGTCTATGCCGATGCTTCTAGCTTCTCCCTTGGCATATATCCAAAGCTGAAGGCCGCATTGCTGAGTGTCCAGATGTGCATCTGGAAGAGCTTGTGAGGGGCAATGGACGGCTGTGATGGGATGTCCCTAACCCCCACCCCTCCGCCTGAGGCATTCAACCAGCACGCTGTAGTGACCGGCGCCTCAAACACTGATTGTCCTACCCTAAGCTGCTGCTTTCTCCTTAGGCATATCTCCAAAGCTGAAAGCCGCGTTGCTGAGAGTCCAGATGTGGGGCAACAGATGGCTGAGATCTTCCTCCTCCCCCCCCTCCACATGCTTAACTGACCCTATGCCGGCACTGCTGCTTTCTCCTTAGGCATATCTCCAAAGCTGAAGGCTGCGTTGCTGAGCGTCCAGATGTGCATCTGGAAGAGCTTCCGTGGGGCAACGGACGGCTGAGATCCGCCTCCTCCTGAGGCGTTTCCATCCTCATTAGAAGGTGCAGTATTGGCAGTGGCAGCACCAGCAGCAACGTAGAGAGGGAGAAGGTGCTCGATGGTGGGATGGGCCTTGGACAGGAGCGGGTGAGAGGAGAGCGCTGCAGGGAGGGAGGGCAGGAGAGGACAGAGGGAGGGACATGGAGCGGAATCGACGTTAGAGGCACCAGTGGCAGCACCAACAGCGACGTAGAGAGGTTTAGGGTGGGATGGGCCTTGGGCAGGAGCGGGTGGGAGGAGAGCGCTGCAGGGAGGAAAGAGGGGAGAGGGATCGGCAAAAAGAGGGGGTTTGATGATGCGTTGAACTAAAAGTGGAGAGGGAGAAGGTGCTCGATGGTGGGACGGGCCTTGGGATGGAGTGGGTGGGAGGAGAGCGCTGCAGGGGGGGCAGAAGGGAGAGGGAAGGACGAGGAAAGGAGAGGGTGGGAGGAGAGAGCTGCAGTCAGGGAGGGGTTAGGGAAGGGAGAGAGAGGGAAGAGAGGAGAGGGAAAAATGAGTGGCAGCACCAGCAGCCACGTAGAGAGGGAGAAGGTGCTCGATGGTGGGATGAGCCTTGGGCAGCAGAGGGTGGGAGGAGAGTGCTGTAGGGGGGGAGGGAGGGAGGGGAGAGGGATGGGAAAATGAGAAATGGCATGTGAAACGGAAATGTGGGTGCTACTTTTGAGTCGACTCAAAAGTCACAAAGAGGGGCACGTTGGGAACGTGGGTGTGGGTGCTGCTTCCTTGTGCCAGTAAAGGGAGGGTGTAAGAATGAAAAAAAAATTGGAGAGAAAGAGCAGACAAACTTCGAGACACCAAACGAAAAAAGAGCAGAGGGGTTACAGCACAGTTTATACGCACCCAGGAGGCTGGTGAGCATGTCTTTATCTGACTTGGCTTTGGTGATTGCCTCATCGAGGAGCGAATCAAAGGGTGCCACGTAGGATGCCACCTGGCGTTGCCACAGCATTAAGTACAAAGGGAACAAGAGTTTTGAGGCGTCTAAAAAAGCTGCGGATTAACTGTGCGAAACTGATAGCGCAAGAACGAGGATGAGAGGGAAGGAAAGCAAGGCTCTTGCAGAGAGCGGTGAAGGGAAGGACGAGACAACGAGCGATGACAAGACGGAAGGGTAAAAACTGACTGTTACATGCTGTTGTAAGTGTTGTTTCAGGCACTTCAAAAAAGACATCAATACTCATTAGGCAGTCACTCAATCAACACGTACCTTCTTAGTACCAAAATACGATCCGACTTCTCTCAAGTTATGCACAGCACCACCACTCGCCAGCACCAGCACACCCTCCCTCCTGAGCGGCCTTAAAGCCCGACCCAGCTCCATGTGCCGCTGCATACTCGTTACAGCGTTCCCCACTTGCCGACTGCTGCCGCCGTGCAGGGACATCTGGACCACTGGGGTGCTGCCACGTGGCAACATCCAGCGCAGCGGGACCCACGCGCCGTGATCGAGGCCGTGGGACGGATCCAGCTCAGCTTTGATGTGATTGGCTGAGAGGAGCTGTTGTCGGCAGGCACGTCAGTAGGCCAGGATGGGAGAGGGATGGGGAACAAGCAGGGCGGGGAGAAAAGGTAAGAGCAGACATTGCTATAGCAGAATAATTGGCCAAGTACAAAGGAATTCTGTTTCTAACTTCAAACCTCCTTCACATTCGTTGAGCCAGCTCCGGTGATCCCTTGACAGGATACTGTAGCGCGTACAAGTCACTGGTCCTGCTCTCTTACCTGCACCACACGCTGTGCCAGCTCCGGTCATCCCTTGTCAGGATACTGTAGCGCGTACAGCTCAAGGGAAAACCCATAGACGGATGGTCACTACTTCTCACTTCTCACCTCAACTACACGTTGGGCCAGCTGTGGAGACCCCTTGACTGGATACTGTAACACGTACAGCTCCTTGAGAAAACCCACGCGAGATCCAGACATAGCTCAGTGAGCTGCGTGCGTGCAGTAGGCTTAAAGCAAAGGAAAAAACAGCCGTAGATTTACCTCAACTACACGTTGTGCTAGCTCGGGTGATCCCTTCACAGGGTACTGAAGCGCGTACAGCTCCTTGGGAAACCCGTAGAAGTCGTGAATAGTGGCGGGCTGGGTGGCACTGTTCACTCGGATTGCCGGCCCGTCCGCTTCCCAGTGAGCGCTTATAACGAGAATGGCCTTGATACCAGGAAACTCGGCGACCTGAGGTGCGGGTAGGGGAGGATGGACGAGGATGGGATGGGATGGGATGGGATGGGATGGGATGGGATGGGATGGGATGGGATGGGATGGGGTGGGGAGGGATGGGATGGGAACGAGTAAGTCAGACTGGGTGGAGAGTGGCACGCTTATAACGAGGATGGCCTTGAGACCAGGTAAGGTGGCGACCTGAGGTGCAGTTAGATGGAAGAAGGATGGAGGGAGGCGGATGAACAGTGGCAGGACGCGTGCTTATAACGAGGATGGCCTTGAGCCCTGGAAACACAGCAATCTACAGACAGGACAAGCACTGTTGGCGACCCAAAAGCGGGCCTCACCTGTTTCCCGAGGCGTTGCCAGAAGGCGGACGTTTCATCTTCTTCCACCGCCGCCATCGGCGACCCGTGCGACACCAACACCACCCATCTTCATCCGGCTTACCCCGAATCACCTGTCGCCCAAGACGTTGACTTCACTCACCTGTTTCCCGAGCTGTTGCCAGAAGGAGGACGTCTCGTCTTATTCCACAGCCGCCATGGCCGACCCGCGAGACACGCCCACCCCCACCTGTTTACCTGATTTCGACTTGACTCCTGGGTCAACTCAGATGAGAGCCTCACCTGTAACCCAAGCCATAGCCTCACGGCCCTCACCTGCTTCCCAAGCCGTTGCCAGAAGGCGGACGTCTCGTCTTCTTCCACTGCAGACATCGGCGACCCGTGAGACACGAAGATAACGGGAAGCTCCGCCTGCGCGTTCCCCGCGTTTCCCTCCGCCGAATCAGCCGCCATTTCCGCAGGAAGTCTGCCACGTGTCGTTCGCAGCAGACGGGTTCTTATCACCGTCGACCCGACAGATGGGCAGCAAATCTCGATGGGGTTCGTTCCTTGACGCGGCGCGTGCCACAGACGGGAAGGCTGACGTGGCGAATGACGTCGTGGCGAGCAGGCACAGCTGCGCGGCGGTCAAGGAAAGAAGTGGCGCGCTTTTGAGATTGAAATGAAGATGCCGCGAAGC